GGGGTCGGGGGACAAAAGGCGGCAGCGTGAGGCGACCCGGGGCCCGACGGCGCCCGAATGGGCGCCGTCGGGCCCCGGGCCGCCTCGCGCTGCCCCGATGTAAACATTCCACAAAAGGGCTCCCCGGAGAGGGGGCGTGGCTTACTCCCCCGACGTGACGGCGGCGCCGTCCGGCGCGCCGATTGGCTGCGTCCGCAGCGCGCCGCCCAATGGGGAGGCTGCGGGGGCGGGAGGGGGCGGGGCGCGCTGGCTGTACGGACATTTTTCTCGGGCGCTCGCTCCCCCCTCCCCTTCCTCTCCACATCCCCTTCCTGGCGGCCGCGGCCAATGGGGGCGGGCGAAGTGGGCGGGCCGAGCGCGGCGGTTGGGCTCCGCGCTGAGCGACTCGGCGCTCGACCAATCGCCGCGCGGGGCTCCCCCCTCCCTGCGGCGGGGAGGGGCGGGATTTCCCGGGGAACAGAGAAGCGGGCAGCGTTCCGCCGCGGCGGCCGAGCGGCGGTTACCCCATCCGCGCCCCTCGCTTTCCCCGCGGGCCGAGCGCGGGGCCGCGCCCACCCCGAGCCCACAGCCGGGAGGGAGCGTGCCTCCGCCGGGCACCGCCGCTTCGAGGTAAGGGGATCGGCGGCGTTGGGGGGACGCGGGGCTGGGAGGTGGTGTGGGGGGGTGGGCGGCCATCCGGCGGGGCGGGGCCGGGCCCGCTGCCGTGGCGAGCCCTCGGTGCCGGTGTGCGTGCGTGTCTCTGTGCGTGTGTGTGCGTGTGTGTGTGTGTGTGCGCGCGGGGGGAGCCCGGCATGGCGGGAGCGGCGGGCGGGGCGAGCGGCGCTGGGCGCGCTGCGGGACGGAGCCTCCCGCCCCCCGCTCCGCCCCCTGCGCGGGGCCGCCTCAGCCCCGCCTCGCCCCGCCCCGCTCAGCGCAATCCTCGCAGCTCCGGGCCCTGCCCACCACCCGTGCCTTTCCAGCTCCCGTTTCCTGCTTTCGCGTTTCTTCAGACGGTTCCCGGCGAGCACGCGGAGGGTTGCCGCGCCGCGCTGCCCGCACGCTGATTCAAAGCACCTGTAGGATCATCCCCGTCCCATAAAAGCACGGCGTTAGGAAACAGCCCCACAGTGCAGAGGAGGCTGCAATCTCCCAGCCCGCATCTTTCCCTCCCCCCCCCAACCCCGCCGGCTGAGGGGCACCGTGAGTAAAGCTGGGGCTGCAGCAGGGGGAGGGGCCGGAGGGCACCCAGATTTCCCCTTCTACTCGCACAGGTCCCTTCCGACCCCAACTTCTGTGTGGTTCTGTATCTCCTGAGTGATCAATAGTGGATGGGAGGCTACGTAGAAACCTTCAGCACGCCCAGCGAAGCAATACATAAATAAGAATGCGATCCCTTTGTGTTTCAGTATGCACAAGAGCACTGCTGTGAACAGGTGCTGTAAGAAATGGCTCACGCTGTGCTCGTGGCCAGCAGACTCTGCTGTGAGCTTGTTGGAAAGGCGTAACCATGACAGGAGCGAGTCACTCGCCTTCCCAGGATGTATGATCCATTCTCTGTGCTCGGAAGCCCTCGTGGCTGGTAAAGCCAAAGCAGATTCACAGTCCCTTGGCTGCTGTTCCACACTGCAGGGCTATGGGTGCACTCTCAGTGCTGTGCCGCTTTCTCCCAGCTCCCCTGGCTCTGCTGTCACAGTGAAGATAATGAGTGGCTGCAGGTACTGCGCTCATCCTGCCTGCATGTGGGGAGGGAGAGCATAGGTGAGGATGGCAAGGCTCGGGGAGAACCCACATGGCAGGGAATGCCATGAGCAAGCAGCCAGGATGTCACACCTCTGTGATCCTGAGCCATACGTGTGCTGCTTCCAAGCTTTGGGTCCTTTCCAACTCGAGAGCAAACTCTCCTGTCTTTCAGTATGGTTCAATCCAGGTGTTTATGCTTAAAATTCAAAGTGACAGCAACAGAGCTGTCAGTATGAGAATCTATGCGTTTGGGTGTCCTTCAGCATGCTCAGACAGCAGGTGATGTGCAAAAGTGTGCCTGCTGCATAGGATTTTTTCTCATCTCTGGCTCTTAATGGCATGAGTTCTCCCTTTTAGAGGTTCATAGAGATTCACAGGGCCTGTGGCATGCTGCAGCCTCCTAAGGGCTTTTAAGCAGCCCCTGAACATTTTAAATGCTTGATCTGCAGCTATGCTGTTTCCCTGTTCCTTTTCAGGAGTGCCTCACATCTGCAAGGACTGAAATCTCTCTTGTGAGGTTTCACAACTTGTTCTTGAAAGCATCATTTGTGTCCAGAAGTGTTGTGGCTCCAACAGGTGTCAGACAACAGACCTGCACGATTCATTGCCCTCCTGCAAAGGGATAACTTACAGCCCAGGAAAAGGAAAGTGAAAAAGCAGAGTGCAGCTTTTGTCCTCCTGTGGAGGGGTATATTGCTGTAAAGGAATGCTCTGACTGAAGTTAAAAGGTAGCTTGGATAGGAGTGGTGCTGGGAGGGAGGGGATGCAGGTCCTCATGTGGTCTGTGTAGAGTGGAGCTTACTCTGTAAAGCCATTGCTGAGCAGGAGCCTCAGTTGAATGCTTTTAATGAAGGACAGTACCTAAAGTTTGTGGACTTGCTTTCAGTCTCATGCAGACCATACTGTATTTTTCAGTCTTTATTTTTCCCTCCTCAATTAAGATCACAGATGATGCAATTTGAATTGAGACTTTCTAAATGTTTGGCTCAAAGTCAACACAGAGGTGGGTGCCCATCAGAGGGCTGTGTTCCGCTGCCTGGAGAACCATATGGTAACCATAGCACTGCCTGTGATGTCAGCTGTGTGCTGCAGAAGTTCTGAGTGGTTTTGTGGTCTTAGTTACCCTCATAATACTGTTCTACAGAGGTACAGCTTGCTACGCTGCAGTCTGCCCTCCTAAAGGAGCAAATCCTTGGGACGCACCAGGTAAAGATCAGTTGGGACCTCAGGGATGGGAGGAATGTGCTCTGGGAGCTTTCACCAGCACGTGTTCCCCCATGAGATGCAGGAGCTGGGGCAGATGCAATGCTTGGCTGTCGGCAGAGCCCAGGGCTTCAGTTCCAGGTTGATGGAGCCTTCTAGAAATGGATGCTACCAAGACTTTGCCCAGACTGGGTGCCCGCGGCCTGGCATTGTCATGCAAAGCGCCCAGATTCACTGCCAGCCTGCTCTGCTTGGTCCAGGCTCCATTAGCATACATCTGGAAGTTTGTTCAGAGCTAAAGGCTATGAGAGCAGCTCCCTGTGAGCCCCGGGGGCTGTTGGTTTGTCTGTAGCTGAGCAGAAAGTACCTGGTGCAGGTACAACGAGCTAAGGAAATTCCTGGAGCATGCTTGGGGTACGTTCTGAAGCTTTGGGGCTGGTATTCTGGGAGGTGCAACTTGCAGAACAGCTTTAAGCAGACATGAAGAGCTCTTCCTTCCTTCCACGTGAAAGGAGCTGGGTGAGGAGCTGGCTGCCAGGTGTATTTTTGGCAGTATCTTTGTATATTTCCCCAGTACTTTGGTCTGTTATGTTAGAGGAGGGTTTAGGCTGCCCTGTACGCTTACTCTGGGGGAGCTTTGTGTGTTACCCAGGCAGAGTCAGCATCTCCATCTGGCTGAAAGTTTGATTTGCAGAGGGCTTGCTGTACAAAGGCAGCATGGGGCAGAGCATTTTGCTTCTGCACTCCTGTGCTCTAAGGCATCTGTGGTGCCTGAGTCCCATCCATCCTGGGCTGCCCAAGGGGGTTCAGGATGGGCTTTGCTTTCAGTGACAGGAGAAATCCTTAACTGGAAAGCAGGGCTTTGTTTCTAACAAGAAAGCTGTGTGTTTGCAGTATACGTGTTTCATGCAGAATGCTGAATCTTAATTCTATTTCCCTATCTCAAGATAGCGACATAAAGGAATCGTCACGAAACTTGTCTTACCTGCTTCTGGCAAACCTGGTGTTCCGAAGCTGGCAGGGTGCGATTAATCAATGTCCCTCTCTAATTGTTTTTACCAGGTTTTTTAGTGCTTCCCGAGCATGAGTTCAGAATGAAGCGGCGATTGGATGAGCAGGAGTCACCCGTGTACACGTCGCAGCAGAGACGTATCACCAGCAGCACCGACGCTTTCCAGCACCAGCACCGTGTGCTCGCCCCGGCACCGCCGGTGTATGAGGCAGTCTCAGAGACCATGCAGTCTGCTACAGGGATCCAATACTCGGTAACTCCCAGCTACCAGGTGGGTCTGCCACATCTTGAGGGGGAAATTGCAATTCAACCCCTTCAACGTGTTGTTTTGCACAGCAGAAGTCTGGGTTTGGGACAAGGCTTTGTTTCAGTTGCCTAGGGGGAAGAAAATTAGGATGGGACAATGAACTTCTCATAGGTCTCACTTGAAGGGTGGCCTGCAGGGACAGGGAGGTGATTGTCCCTCTCTACTCTGCCCGCATGAGGCCCCATCTGGAGTACTGCATCCAGGTCTGGGGCCCCCAGTACAAGAAAGAGAGGGAACTGTTTGAGAGGGTCCAGAGGAGGGCCAGTAAGATGATGAGAGGACTGGAGCACCCCCCTACGAAGACAGGCTGAGGGAGCTGGGCTTGTTCAGCCTGGAGAAAAGAAGGCTGCGGGGTGACCTCATTGCAGCCTTTCAGTACCTAAAGGGAGCCTACAAACAGGAGGGGAATCAAGTCTTTGAAAGGGTAGATAACTGCAGGACAAGGGGAAATGGTTTGAAGTTGGAGGAGGGAAGATTTAGGTGGATGTCAGGGGGAAGTTCTTTACAGAGAGAGTGGTGAGGTGCTGGAACAGCTGCCCAGAGAAGCTGTGGATGCCCCGTCTCTGGAGGTGTTCAGGGCCAAGATGGATGGGGCCCTGAGCAGCCTGGTCTAGCATTAAATGGGGAGTTTGGTGGCCCTGCATGTGGCAAAGGGGTTGGAGCTTCATGATCCTTGAGGTCCCTTCCAACCCTGGCCATTCTGTGATTCTGTGAAGCACATTAAGGTTGCCAGCTTTGTTGCTGAGATGGCCCTGACCACACAGTGTGATGTTACTTGGCTTCTTTTGAACAGCACTCTCTTGAATGATTCAGATCACAGTCTCTGAATCCTAGAGACAAGTGCATGCAGAGATTAGCTCCGAGTTTCATTAGCAAGGAGAATGTTTGTTCTAAGAGTGTCCCTGCCACAGACTTCAGATATCTTGGGTGATCTTAAGCTTAACAGGCTGGCATTTAGACTGGAGGCTTTCAAGCAATTGAACTGTTAGAGAAGATGTCACCGCAGGGTCATTAGGTGCCTCTTTTTGTTCTGAGAGGCTTCCGCTGCTGGTTTTAAACTAAAAGAGAGGAGATTTAGATCAGATTTTAGGAGGAAATTCTTTACCATGAGGATAGTGAGGCTTTGGCACTGCTGCCCAGAGCTGTGGGTGCCTCATCCACGGAGGTGCTCAAGGCCATGGTTGGGCTTTGGGCAGCCTGAGCTGGGGGCAGCCAGCCTGCAACAGGGGATGGTGCTGGGGAGGCTTTAGAATCCCTTCCAACCTTTTTAGAGAGAAGAGAGAACCTTGATTCGGTCTGAATCACGCTCCCTGTGCATTTCTTCCTTCTGTTAGCACTGGTGATGAGACAAACACTCATGGTCCTTTCTGTCTCTCCAGGTGTCAGCTGTGCCACAGAGCTCAGGCAGCCACGGGCCGGCCCTGGCAGCGGTGCACAGCGGCCACCACCACGCTGCCCCGGTGCAGCCACATGGCAGCCAGGTGGTGCAGAGCCACGCACACCCAGCCCCCCCGGCTGTGCCTGTGCAGGGCCAGCAGCAGTTCCAGAGGCTCAAGGTAACGGAGGGATGTGGGTGGGACAGCCCAAAGGTTTGGGGCTTCTCTGAATGCATGGCCTCAGAGGGCAGGAGTGCAGGAGTGAGGTGGGAGTGCAGAAGGCTCTATTCTTGGCTTACGTGGTGTGAAATCCTTAAAAGAGAGAAAACTCCACCAAAAGTAGCCCTTGTGAGTAGTTGCGTTAGATTTGGCTCTAGGAACAAGGCATACATATGAATTGATACCTTGTCCCACGTGCAGGGCAGGTCTCTTCCCGTTGAGCTGGAAACCAGTGCTTTGCTGGGCGAGATGCCCTTCTGCTTCATTTCCATTCCCCTCTGAAAATGGTTTTGTAACACGTGGTTCTCCCAGCAAAACTGCTGGCTGTCCCTCCAAGATGCAAGGTTGGGACTGTCCCTGCTCACCTTTCCTCCCTTGCTGTCTTTTAATTCCCAATAAGGGAGAGGGCCCAGGTGCATCTGATTACAAACTGCACAGAGCACACGTGTCAGGCTGGGCTGTGCTTTCAGTATATCTGAAAATTGGTTGTTGGTACACGAATGGTTCATAAACTTCTTGCTGTTTGAGGCGTAAAACAATTTGCCGCCCACAGTTGCCATTTTCAAAATCCTTATGTGTCGAACTGAAATGTCTGGCTTTCAGAAAGCGTGTACCTGGCAGGCATCTATTCCTCTGAATATGTCATTTCCACTTTCTGCTTATTCTTAGACCTCCATAATAATTTCCACATATGAATGCAGGAAAAATGCTCAGTCTAGTTCTGTTTATCCTAGCAGTCACATCACTGGTGGTGACATGGGAAATTTGGAGAATGTGCCTTCTGACTAATTCTGTTGATTTGAATTGCTTTTGTTTTGTTTATCATTATTTATTTTTCTTCTTTTTGGTGTAGTTTTCTGAGCTTTTCTTATTTAAGTGGTGCTGGTGTGACTCCAACCAAGATCACAATCCTTAATTCCCTTTCTAGGCTCAGGGCTACCAGCTGTGCTGGTACGTGCTTTCAAATACGTGTTTTGCCAAGCAATGGGGGTGACATAAAACCTTCTGTGCCAACGCAAGCTGTCTGTTTTGTCTCCAGGTGGAGGATGCGTTGTCATACCTTGACCAGGTGAAGCTGCAGTTCGGCAGTCAGCCACAGGTCTACAATGACTTCTTGGATATTATGAAGGAATTCAAATCTCAGAGGTAAAAAGCTTCATTCTGCTGCTTCCACCCAGGCTGCTATCACTGTATGTATGTTTGTGGGCATGGCAGCGCAGAACATGAGTTCAACTCTGCCCTTCCATTCCAGAGCAGCATACCTCCATGGTAGTGTGAAAGCAGTTGTATGCTTTCTGTTCTGAGAGTCTGAGAATCTGTTCCGAGAGTTTCAGGATTTCTTCACTTATATCCATTTCTGCATTGATACTAAAAGAATTTCTGCCTAGAGCTGCAGTTCCCAAGCTCAGCCTTGTTAGCTGTTTGACCTGGCTGTCTGGTGGTCCTGCCCGCCTGCCTGGTCAGACTTGTGGCTAGATCTCATCGATATAAAGCAGTCTGAACAAATAAAATAATTCATATATCATTGCTAACTTTGGTAACGTTGGTAACTTATTTATCGGAATGAGTTTTCCTATGTTTCATAGGTTTAGCATAGGGTATAGATGGTAAAATAGAAATGCTGAAGAAGAATTGTCGCATGCAGAGCTTGGGTTGCCACAAGGAGGGAGTTTGAAGATGGTGACGTTCTGATTTTATTCCTTGCTCAGCATTGACACTCCGGGAGTGATCAGCCGCGTATCACAGCTCTTCAAGGGCCACCCAGACTTGATTATGGGTTTCAACACCTTCTTGCCTCCTGGCTACAAGATCGAGGTGCAGACAAATGATATGGTGAACGTGACAACCCCAGGGCAGGTTCACCAGATCCCCACTCATGGCCTGCAGCCTCAGCCACAGCCACAGCCCCAGCATCAGTCACAACCTTCAGCGCAATCGACCCCAACACCAGCACAGCCAGCGCCGCAGCCACCACCTGCCAAAATCAGCAAGGTGAGAGCGAGTGAGTGGTGTTTGTTGGCTCCTGCATGGGGGACTGGCTGCCTCCAGCTGACGCTGGTGTGGAGGTGGGGAATTAAATGGGATTTGCTGCCTCAGAATAACCCAAATCCCAAGAAATTCCTCGTAAAGCTGAGGCCGTGATGGAGACGTTACCCTCAGTGTGAAAGTTTGTGTGTGTTTCTAAATGCTTGGCGTAGTGATGTGTTAGACACTGTATTGCTCAAAATCTTATTTTCAGACTGGCCAGCTGCTGCAAAACAAAAACAAACAGAAAGGGTAGTCTGGTTCAGCCATCAGCTGGACGGGTGCAGGCATTGTTGACAAAACTGAAGTGCAAGGGTTCAAACAAAATGACCACAGTGTTGTCTTAAGTATCAGTTTGTGTGCCTGAAACTGATCTCAATAACAAAGGGATTTTGTCTCTGCTTTAGATGTAATCCAGATGCTGCGTCCACCATATGTATTTTACGTGATTGAAAACAGAATAGGGTAATATAAGAGGCTTTTAAGAGCTCAGTTGAGATAAAATCCAGTGTATTTGAACCTCCAAATGTGCAAAGAAGGGAAAGAATCCCCAAAATTTCAAGGATTAATCTCTTAACTATGTACTCTTGGTCTCCATATTGAAAAATCTGCATCTTCTCTTGGTGTTTCCTTACTCCCAGCATTCTTAACTAGAGACAGAGTAACTTGCAGTGTTGCAGAGAGCCTAAATGCTTTGCTTCTGTATTTTGATGATGGAATGTAACTCTTGTCAGATCTCAGTCAAAAGCAAGTGGCAAGGAGAAACAGCTGCTCAGAATAAGTTGAAGGGGCTGGTGTTGTGTCTTCCTGGCTGGCACACCCAATTTCTATTTATTTGTTTGCTTTGGATAGTGGCTCTCTTCTGCTCAGTCTGCCTTTGTTTGTGCTTCTGTTAATCTTTAAAACACCGATTGGGAAATGGGACGACACAAATTTGGCTCTTGACAACAGTTTTTGCTTAGACAACTACTAGGAGGTATTGAGTTTGTGGAAGATAGTGCTAAAATTCCCTAGGCTTGGGGAGGGAGTAATTATTTAGTAGCAATTAATGAAAAAAACAAGCAAACACAAACAAACCAGTCTTTTAAGGAAGCACGTCAGAAGTCATCCAGGGATATGGGTAGAGATTGCTTGACTGGGTGTAGTAGTGGGAAATGTCCAGCTGCTGTGCCTGTGATGCTTCAGCTCACAGATATCCCTGTTGGCACCATGTGCACTCATACACCATCTCATGTCCTCAGGATATGGCACATAAGTGGGATACGAGTGCCTTTGTTCAAAGCATAAAGGATCTGCCCTTGTCTGACATGGCTCCTTCTTTCTCCCCTTAGCCATCACAGCTGCAGGCGCACACACCTGCCAGCCAGCAGACCCCCCCAATTCCACCATATGCGTCCCCACGCTCACCACCAGTGCAGCCTCACACACCTGTGACAATCTCTCTGGGAACCACACCATCTCTGCAGAACAATCAGCCCGTCGAGTTTAATCACGCCATCAACTATGTCAACAAGATCAAGAACCGCTTCCAGGGACAGCCAGACATCTACAAAGCCTTCCTGGAGATCCTCCATACGTATCAGGTGAGCTTTGGCAGTGCCAGGTGGAGTCGTTGCACTTTCTTGGCTGCCTGAGATGGGCATTCTGGTCTTCTGCTGGACTTCTTTGTATAGATCTTTTCCAATGTAAATAATTCTTTGCTTAGCATTGGCCAGCAAGCTAAGCAGAGCTCCAATTCTGTTAAAAGTGAAGAAATCACTTCTTTGATCAATGTCCCCCTAGCCCACAGCCAGCTGGGCATTTAGCACAGTCCTTTGCTTTAGATGCTGAGACCTTTGCTGCTTCATTCTTTGTATTACTGAGGGCTTTTTTCCTTTGTCTCTGAAAAAGTTCAGACGTCCTTTCATCGGACCCTTCTCTTTGTATGACAGAAAGAGCAGCGCAATGCCAAGGAGGCAGGGGGCAACTACACACCAGCACTGACGGAGCAGGAGGTGTATGCACAGGTGGCTCGCCTCTTCAAGAACCAGGAGGATCTGCTCTCAGAGTTTGGGCAGTTTCTGCCAGATGCCAACAGCTCGGTGGTGAGTCTACTTGAGGCAGGCTGGAGCTGGAGTATGTAGTGGAAAAGAGCTTCTGTAGGGAGCCAGTGCTCAGAACAACGGGCTTTTCTTGTTGTCTTGCGTTTTTGGAGTGGTCTTTTACCAAGTTTAGGAGGTGGGTCAGGATGATAGAGTCTTTTCTGTCAATAACTTGTCTTTTCACTACAATTCCTTTGCTTGGAAGGGTTGTTCTAAGACTTCCATAACCGCAGTAAGGTAGATTGGTCACCTCGAGCTGGGAGGAGCAGGCATACTAGGGTTTGGCTGATGAGGAAGTTCGGCTTTGATGATCTCGTGGCTTTGTTTGTAACTAAGCTGTTAAGCAAGACAACTGCAGAGAAAGTGGAGTCGGTGAGAAATGACCATGGAGGCACAGTGAAGAAGCCACAGCTCAACAACAAGCAGCAAAGACCCAACCAGAATGGCTGTCAGATCCGGCGGCACTCAGGAGCAGGGACAACCCCTCCAGTGAAGGTAATGACACGTGCTGCTAGCTCAGCAGCTGTGTGTTTCCCAGGAAACTAAAGCAAAACTTAGAGCAGAATCATGCTTATTCATTTGTCACGTGATAAATGTTGTCATGCAGTGATGAATGATGATTCCTGTAGCTGAATTTGCCCACTTCAGCTTACTCACGTTTTGAGAGAGCAAGGCTTAGCCTTGTCAGAAGAATGGTCTGGTGGTTTAGAGCCTCTGCATTAGAACAAGTGTGCCTGCTTTGTGTGGTGTGTCCTGTGGGGGGAAGAAAAGTGTTGGCACATCTAGCTGTGTTGTTTAAATCCAATGACTTCCTTCCCCTTCCAGCTTTTCTCCTCGAAATGCAGCGAATTAATACATGTTTGGAGGCAGCTTTAAGCCTTTCTGATGTGGAGTACAGGAGGTAGAAGTTCGCTGCTTTTTAGGGAGGTCTAAGAATCAGCTGAATGAAAGGTGGTTTAAAAAATATTTTGGTAATTCTGCACATTAGTTAGAAATTGAGATACTTCAAGCAGTGATTGTTTCAGTCAGCTTGTTAGAGGAAAGGATACGACCTTGTGTTAAAAATACTTGGCGTTCTGTGCAGCTAATTAAAGATGAATAGATTAACATGGTGGCCACATTTTAAACAAGTTTCCTTCTGGAAAAGCCACTCTTCTGTCTGAGAGCAAGTAGTGTGGTCTGGAGGCTGAAGCCCTTGAGTAATACGTGGTCAAAATACAGTGACTTCCTCTGTTGAACAGCCCTTTTTTGTATTATTTTTTAACAGAAGAAACCAAAGCTCCTTGGTTTAAAAGACCAGTCCTTGGCAGAAGCCAGCAAGCATGGCGTGGGGACAGAATCTCTGTTCTTTGAGAAGGTGAGTGGTGAGACTGAGAGAGCACAGTCTGGTGTCACTGACTGATGTTTGTAGCCTGCATACATCCTGATTTTTTTGTCACAGTGAAGTTTCTGATATATGTGCTGCTAACATTGGTCTGCTTGACCTCAGCTGTATTGTCTGACCTCTGTGTCAGATCTGCTGCGTTTTTTAAAAGATTGGTGGTGTTCTTTACAGGGACATCTGTGTCTTTTTTCCCTGGAGGGGTTATTCTCTAGTTCTCACCTGCTGCTGATGTTCTGTGGCAGAAAGGCTTGGCATCAGAGCCATGCTTGCTCCCTGATGACGTATGTTTTGCAGCTCACTGAGCCAGCTGGTGGTGACTGGGAACCACTCTATCGCTCAGAGGATGCGTAGGTGTTCCCATGAGTAAACGTAGAAATCCCTGCTGCAGAACTGTAACTGTAATGACGAGTTTCTTAATAATGATAGATCTGTTTCATGTGTAGATGCTAACTGTTCTCATGGGAAAAGTAATGGTGCTGGAATGAATTGCTGTTTTCTTGTGCTGAGGGCTACAGAGCTTGCTGTGTCTGTGATGACTTGAGCTGTAACGTAGTGGGGGCTGGAGGGGTGCTCACTGTGACACAGGTCTCTTAGCCCTGGTCCCCACCCAGGTGGGTCTGTGGTGCTGCAGACACAACTGGGCTTGTCTGTGATCCAGCTGCTGGGAGTTTCATTCACATACAACTCTCTTCTGCAAGGTAATGCACTTGAGTGGCAGCCATACCAGCAAGGAGATGGCTTCCTTCTCTTTTCTGGCTCCTTGGAGCCTCTCCAACAAAGTCCTGCATAGGTGGGGGGAAGCACAGTGTTGAACACAGGCCTCCTGGGTGCTGATGGACAAGCTGCTCTCACCTTAACCCTTTTCCTTCTTCTTCCCCAAGGTTCGCAAAGCTCTGCGAAGCACAGAAGCATATGAAAACTTCCTTCGCTGCCTGGTTATTTTCAACCAGGAGGTGATCTCCCGTGCAGAGCTGGTGCAGCTAGTTTCCCCGTTCCTGGGGTAAGTGGAGTCTGCTTCTTTGTGTGAGGGGAGAAGCTAAATCCAATGCATCTGTTTGTGATGCACAGCAGGAAAAGAAATGCCAACCTTGGTGGCTGCGTGGTTTGTATTACAGAATTAGTCCACAGCATGCTATTGTGGCTCTGGAATTATAGATTATTTCACTCAAGAAAAGCTTGACTGTCCAATTACACAGGAAGTGTCCCCTAAAAAAAGGAGTGCTTATACAAACCCATTAAAATTACCAAAAAAAGCAGAAAGCAACTGAGTTCTGCCCTGAAGCCAAACCCGATAATCAGTACTGTCATTTAAATAGAAATTATAACTTCAAGTACTGTACAGAATGAGTCTGTATTAATCACCTAAAATCATTGTAATAATTATCCTCTCATCAGCTTGGGGCAACTCTGTTTCTGTGATTTGAGCTCCTAGTTCCTATGCAGAAGGCAGCAGCAATGTAAATTGGGTTCGGGACCCCATTATGCTGGTTGCTGTGTGCAAGGAAAGTGCCCCAAGGAGCTTATGCTTTCTGCAGCTCCACTGGAATTAGGCATCAGCAGGAAGCTGGTTTTGGCTAGAAAAGGTGAAATATTCAACCAAAAAAATCTGCATTCTTCCATTTACCACCTGTGCTCCCGACTGGAAGGGTGAATATCTGCACTGGGAAAGGTGTCATGCAGTTCTCTTACTCCGAAGTCAGACGTTACCTTCAATCACGTAATGGAAAAGCAATAGATGAGCAGCGATTCCAGTAACAGGTCTGATTTCTCATATCACTGCAGCTGTTCACCACCTGACCAGCAGACGGATACTTGGTTCCCACTTGGTGGAAGTGGGGTTGAGCAGAGAGGTCCTCTCACCAAATTGGCGAATCAGAGAGTCTTCTTGGGCAACTTCTGTCTCTTGCAAGCAGTTCTAGCCTCAGTATCACAGTTCAGCACGGCACCCTGCTTTCTATTTAGCTAATTTTTCACTTCATTCCTTTTATTTCTAGGAAATTCCCCGAACTATTCACTTGGTTTAAAAACTTTCTGGGCTATAAGGAGTCTGTTCACATGGAGACGTATCCCAAGGAACGGGCAACTGAAGGGATTGCCATGGAGATAGACTATGCCTCCTGTAAAAGACTGGGCTCCAGCTACCGTGCCTTGCCCAAGAGCTACCAGCAGCCCAAGTGCACGGGGCGGACGCCACTGTGTAAAGAGGTAAGCAGCTCCCAGGCAGCAGCCATGTGGCAGAGGAGGGCTGTTCACAGTACAGCACGTGAGAATGCTCATCTCTCTTGCAAACATGTGGATTGGATCCAGGATCTATTTCCCAGGGTGAGGCTGTGCCAGCAGCTGGCTGGGAGATGCAGTGCCCACGGGGCTTTGGTGGCTGCCCTCTGCTTTTCTCCAGTGGTGATTCTGAAAGAGTTGTGCAAAGCATTGGGGAGCATCTGGAAAAAAAGAACCTCAATAGCTGTGACGTTTAAATACTTCTACAAGGGAGTATGTAATTCAAGGTGATTGCTGCCTTTTTCACCAAACTCCTGCTTAGTCTGCTTTCAGAGTTGTCTCTAGTCAAAAGAAAAGAAAATCATGTCTTCTGTACAGAGTTTCTCCTTCATATTCCTCTCACGCTTCTTTCTTTCCACCTGCAAGGCTGACGTGAGCTGTGGAGACATGGTGTACTGCATCAGGAGGTTGGCTCCCCATCGGGAGCATTGTTGGCCTAGGGACAAAGCTGTCAGCAGCGTGGCAGGACCGGATGCACTCCTTGGGTCCTTTCATGGAACCACCTTTTGGTTGGAGAGGAATGCTGCTGGCTGATTCTGCTCCTTCGTTGGTGTTAGAATCCCCCTTCCTTGGGTGACTGCCGTCAGCAGGGAGAACAAACAAGCAGAAGATTTTGGAGCATCACAGTTTTGCCTCCTTTCCTTGAGAAATGAGGATGAATGCAGGTGATCAAGTCAAGCAGTGAGCAGTGATACGCAGTTAATTGAAATGATGGCACAATAGCGAAAACAACTCAGGCAGGAAAGAATTGTAAGTTTCTAATCTAAGTCCTGACACGTCTCTCAGGAGTACCTTGTGTGATGCAGCTTTCATTTCTGCAAGAATCTAATGTGTTGGTTGAGGAAAATTAGGCTTGATTTTTCAAGATTGCCTACCAAAATCTGTTGTTCTGTTGCCTTTGGCCTCTTTGAGGTTTCTTTGGATGGTCCGTTCCTGCTTTGGAGGTAGTGAAAAACTGCAGGTTCTCAGCATCTTTGTCAGGAAAAGTTTTGCTGGGGTATGGATTGATATTCTTTATTTGGAGGTAGAAACCATGTTGTGTCTAATGCTCATGGTTAGCATGATGACCACCCGGTGCCGTCAGTGTGAATCAGACATGTGATGAGTGAACCACAGTGAGCCAGTTCTTCCAGTGGAATGGAAAAGCTCCTTTCACCTCTCTTTTTCTCTTCCCTTGCAAGTGTTTTCTTATGTTTGCAATGGATGAGTTTTCCAGACCACTGAGTTGTTTCATCTCTGGATGTTTGGGTGCTGGGCATCCTCTGCACTGGAAGGGAGAAGCAATTTTTGCTGCTCCTCCATCAGCAGCCAAGCACCTCTGTAACACTCCCCTTCCAAGTCTGACTGTCATGCTTGTTTTTCTCTGTCGTACTGCAAGGTTTTGAATGACACCTGGGTCTCCTTCCCTTCCTGGTCTGAAGACTCTACTTTCGTGAGCTCCAAGAAGACACAATATGAAGAGCACATCTACAGGTGTGAGGATGAGCGTTTTGAGGTAAGTTGTTTCCTTTGGAAGCCTTGGGGTTCTGTGAATAGCTAGTGATATAATTCTATCCTTAATGCTGCTTCATACAGTCTGTTTTTATTGTCCATCACACGTTCTCTGCGTAGAGCTTGCATTATCTGAAAGCAAGAGACAGCATCTGGTTAACCACTTCTCTTTCCAAGCTACCACCCCTGCTCAAGCTCTGTGCACTGAGCTCTTCTCTCACATCACTCCAGATGGAATTGTTCAATGGACAGCATATAATCAGTGTATCTTTTTTGCCCTTTCTGCCCACATAGCTTGTAAGAACATGTATTCCCCTGTAATAATCCGAGAAACGATACGTTCAGGATGTTAAATGATTGACTTCTTGACTTAAAATGAGAGTTAGCTTGGCAATTACCCGAATGTGCTCAGATCTGTCATGTCCTTTTGTAGAGGAACTGTCAATTGTTTTCTGCTCCCATATGGAAAATGTAATTTCTTAACAGCATCGTTCTGGTAGACATTAAATTCTGATGCACCATTACCTAGGCTGCAGATAAAATATAATTGGATTATTTCAGCGCAGCCAAACGTGGAAACCAGTTCTGGAATCCACCTTGTTAAACACGCCCGGCTTCTTGTTTCGTGTCGCTTCAGTGTTAGTCTCTGTGAAGTATCATGTTTTATCTATTCAACTCTGGCTAACACACCGTTCGCTTCAGCTGGACGTTGTCTTGGAGACCAACCTGGCAACGATCCGCGTCCTTGAGGCCATCCAGAAGAAACTCTCACGTTTGTCTGCTGAGGAGCAGGCCAAGTTCCGGCTGGACAACACCCTGGGAGGCACCTCAGAGGTGATCCACCGCAAGGCCCTGCAGAGGATATATGCAGACAAAGCAGCTGACATCATTGATGGGCTCAGGAAGAACCCATCTGTTGCTGTTCCCATTGTCCTGAAAAGGTATCGCACTGACACCGTGCCCTGGGGGCTCTGTCTTACTCCACATTTATGTAGAAGTAGCTGATTTCTGCCCCTGGAGGGTTTAACCTGCAATTTGAGAAAGGCATTCCGTTCTGATCGGTTGCTGTGTTTTATAACAATCACCTTTTGAAACACAAACGCTCAGCTGGGGGGATGCAGAGCTTTTATTTTCTCCTTTGAACCTTGTTTCTTCTCTAGCCTATGCACGGCAGCATATATAAGATGAGGAAGCTGTCTGTTTCGGGTGGATTGTTCAGGGCTGAATCCAATCCCTTTCCAAATCCCGTGGCTGCGCATGACCGTGGGCTCTGACTGCTCAGGCACCACGCCTGGATCCCCATTAGTTTTCTGTTGTCAGCTCCCTGCAACCGATCACAAAAAAAGGAGTGGGGGCTGCAGTTCTTTGGAGATGTGTAAAGAGGAGGCTGTGTACACTTTTAATACAGTAATGTGTTGTCCTTATCCTCCTGGTGTGTAAATAAGGAAGTGTTCTCTAAAAGCATAACTGAAGCACCACTTACAAGGAGGTACTATTCCCCCCAAAGCTTGTCTCTGGGAAGGGAAGCCACTTCGCCACCAATACCTGCAAGGTCACAGTGTGCCCACCCTGCTGCACGACACTGTTCTGTGAGCTGCTCTGGCTGTGCTGCACCAGGTGCTTTGCTTGAGATACTGAGCTGAGGTTCTGGACCCTGTTCCCAGGAAGCTCAGGTGTCCGAAGATGTGCAGAGAGCTTTGTTCAGCAAAGGGTGTGCAGAGTACTGCTACTGTAAAACTCCTTTCAGTGGGACTGCTTTCATTGGTGCACATTCCCAGGTCTCAGGCTTTCCTTACAAGCTCAGAGTGAGACCTTTATGTCTCTTATCTCACCCTTGATTTCTTGATCCTAGGTTAAAGATGAAAGAGGAGGAGTGGCGAGAAGCCCAGAGAGGATTTAATAAAGTCTGGCGAGAGCAGAATGAGAAGTATTACCTGAAGTCCTTGGACCACCAGGGCATCAACTTCAAGCAGAACGATACCAAGGTCCTGAGGTCAAAGAGTCTCCTCAATGAGATTGAAAGCATCTATGATGAAGTAAGATGGTCACCAGCAGTTTCCTTCCCTCAAGCTTATATGGTCTGCATATGCAGTTTCAGTTCCTTTCCTCTTGATGCTGGTGTGGTTGGGAAGTGGGATTCTCACCATGGAAGGGCTGTGCTCTCTGTATTGGGATATCTGCTTGTGGCTGAGGAGGCTTGTCATCCTGCTGGTAGCAGGTGGGCTCTGTTTCTAGAACAGAAACAGGGTGGAGAAGGTTTGTAAACAGGAGGAATGTTTGTGAACTTTTGGCATCTGTTGCAGAGAGCCTTCTGGCAGCAGTGGGAGGGAGGCCTGATGCTTCCTCTGTTGCGAGGGGGTGTAATGAGAGAGGAAGTCTGTATCATTGGGAGAGCTTTCTGAGGGCTTGTGGGCAGAGGGAGGTGCTTGGGGGACTAATTTGTGTCCTGTTTCTCGCTTGTAGAGGCAAGAACAGGCTTCAGAAGACAACGCTGGGGTTCCCACAGGCCCGCACCTCTCGTTAGCCTATGAAGACAAGCAGATCCTGGAGGATGCTGCTTCCCTCATCATCCACCACGTGAAGCGGCAGACGGGAATCCAGAAAGAGGACAAGTACAAAATCAAGCAGATCATGTACCACTTCATTCCAGACCTGCTGTTTGCTCAGCGAGGTGAACTCTCAGACGTGGAAGAGGAGGAAGAAGAGGAAATGGACGTGGATGAAGCTACCGGAGCTGCGAAAAAGCACAACGGTGTGGGGGGCAGTCCTCCCAAAACCAAGCTGATGTTCAACAACACGACGGCCCAGAAGCTGCGGGGCATGGATGAGGTCTACAACCTCTTCTACGTGAACAGCAACTGGTACATCTTCATGAGGCTGCATCAGATCCTGTGCTTGCGGCTGCTGCGGATCTGCACCCAGGCTGAGAGGCAGATCGAAGAGGAGACACGGGAGAGGGAGTGGGAGAGGGAAGTGCTGGGCATCAAGCGAGACAAGAGCGACAGTCCTGCCATCCAGCTGAGGCTGAAGGAGCCAAGTGAGTGATCCTGGGGGCCCACAGGTGCTTCTGTTAGCAGCATGTATGCTGATAGTGCTGGCACGCTGTCTCAAATGTGCTGCAGTGTGACACTATGATGTGCTTTTACTGTCTTTTTACTGTCACTGGGCAGCAGGGAGTTGAGATGGGAAGATGTGGGGCAGGAGGGAGTCGCAGCAGAACAGTACCATGCAGCAGTTGTTTCATGAGAACTTTAATTGCACGCTTGCTTATCAAAAGCATCCTTGAGTCCCCTAATGACAAACATTCTAAAAGCCTTTTGGAACCAGAGACCTCATGGAGGAGGCTAGAAAGGCAGAGAGACTGTGAGAGTACCCGTGGCTTAAAGGTCTTTAAAAGATGAACATATGACAAATTCCAGTAGCAGAGCTGGCTGAAGACTGGAGCTCCTGCTCCATCCTGTCCCAGGCAGAGTGGAAAGGGCCTTCCTGGTGTTCCATGCTCACCCCTCTTGCTCTTGTGTTGCAGTGGACATCGATGTGGAGGATTACTACCCAGCATTCCTGGACATGGTGCGTAACCTCCTGGATGGGAACATGGACTCGTCGCAGTACGAGGACTCCCTGCGTGAGATGTTCACCATTCACGCCTACATTGCCTTCACCATGGACAAGCTGATCCAGAGCATCGTGCGGCAGGTGGGTGCTGGCTGGGCTGGGGCTGGGTGCCAGGCTAGAGGAGGGAAAGTTGCTCGTGTCCCTGAGTGTGTGCTGGCGTGTCGGTTACCTATATGTGACATTCTGGGGATAAGCAGCTGAATTACAGACGTTTTTTAACCCAGCTTTGAGGCTGCTTGAAGGAGAGGTGATGAAAAGTAACTTCTAGTGTATTTAAATTATCACGAATATCCTTTATGTGTGGGGTTCTCCCTTTGTTTTCCTGAAGCTATAGGGATATAAGTTTTCCACTCAAGCATTTGTGGAGCTAATCTTGCTTTAACTTTGAAAAGGAATTAAATAGCATTTAAATAATTTCTTTCATTCTCTTCAGTGCTATGAGAGCAGTGCGTGCCTTTTCTAAAAAGCTTTGTCTCTTTTATCTGCCTGCTTGAGAAGCTCAGGCTGGTTGTTACGTTCTAGTCCTCTTATTGGGCACATAGAAAGAATGTGTGACCAAGGAAAAAATTCTTCGTGTGCCTTTTTGTAGCGTAAAGAACAAAACCAGATGTGAGAGCCAGGGAGTGGGATTGCTTGAAAGGCCATTCCTTGTTGGAGCAGCTTTTCAGAAGCTCTTGGTTTCAGTCCAGAGCTTAACTGAATTGAAAAGACAGTTGAGCGATTTCCGATTTTCAACTTGTACAAAGTGAGGTATCATATCTCTCCCCACTGTCCTCAGAGACAGTAGCAGCCCCGTGCTGAGAACAGCACAGCCCTTCCCACCCTGCTGCTGCTGTTCACAGGCTTTCCTGCACGTAGTTTTTTTCCTCTTTTTGCCACCTGCTTTTTTTTTTGGGGGGGGGGAGAGCTTTTAATTTAGAAGGTAGTGCTGTTTTTTCTTTTACATTGCTGCTGGAAGAATTTACTAAACATGTAGCCTTAAACTCATGCTTTTATAACCTTTTTATCCTTTTTTTTTTTCCCCTTAAGGCTTAAGCACTTGGTTACATCTTTGTTTCTTGCTATTGTATGCTGATGGGCACGTAGCAGCCTCCAGCCAGCGAGTCCATCCTTATCCACTGTAGCTTTTATTTCTAAAACCTACAATGCAGGCAAATAGAGATGTACGTGTAACCTTGTGTGCTGCTTTTTCTTTCAAGCAAGAATCTGCCAGGTTCCAATTACAAAGGGTATTTTGGAGCCTTTCTCACTTTCCCAGCTGGTTCTTGCACTCAGGGTTTTGGTAGGTCACCCTGGTTTGCATGTTACAGCAAGCTCTCCCAGATGCCTCAGGCGAAGAGAAATACCTTTTGCAAGAGGCTACACTGAGCACAAAAGGGTTTGGTCTTTTTTTTCCAGCCTGGGTTTAACAGCTCCCTCATCAACATTCTCCCCTTGCTCTTCCTTTTGGCAGCTCCAGCACATAGTGAGCGATGAGATCTGCGTGCAGGTCACAGACCTCTACCTGTCAGAAAACAACAACGGGGCCACAGGAGGCCTCCTGGCTTCACAGTCCTCTCGGAACCTTCTGGAGGCCACCTACCAGCGCAAAGCTGAGCAGCTCATGTCGGAGGAGAACTGCTTCAAGGTAGAGCTTGGTGGGAAAGCAGCAAGCAGAGAAGGGTTTGATTTGTAAAGTAGGTGCCAGTCCTTTGAAAATGGAGCACTGGTTAGGCACCCAAGAGCCCTGAGGTCTCCACAGCTACAGAAAGCCTGGAAAGTTGAAAGTTTTGGTGCTGTGCCCCCAAACTTCAGCATTGCTTTGGTGGTATTTCCAGCACATCATCAGCTGGTCTGTGGCAGAAGCTGCATCAGTCCCAATAGGCAAAGTGGAACAGCACACAGGGATGTTGATGCTTCAACACTGACTGATTTGCTGTCTCCCATTTGAATTTGTTAGCTCAATCTTTCCCATTTCTCTTGTGTCTCAACCTTTGTGGGCCGTGGAAAGATTTGCTAATACCAACTGGGCATTAAATCATTGCTGACTGTACACATGGCTGAATAAAGGTGGTGTGCAGTGCTAATCAAATCCGTGCTTTCTTTGCTAAGATGCAGGAAGTGGTCAGGCCCTTTCTGAGCTAGCACAGTATTCTAGAGAAAAGTCTCTGTGGATAATCTCTCTTCTTTTACCCTCAAACTTACACTGGGGGCTCACAAGAGACCTGTGCCTCTCCAAAATCAACACAAAAAGATTTTTCCAAAAGCTTGAACGTTTTTCTGTTCCTCAAAGAGTGTGCAATGCTGCCAGTGCTTTTCCTTTGCTGGCAGTAATGCAGGGAGCAGTTTTTTGCCTTAAGACTATGCAAGCTGCTTTACTGTCCCTTTGCCTCAGAGAGAAGTGGAGGGGTATATTTCTTCTGTTTGAAATCTCACTGAATCCCTTCTGCCTTTTGCTTTACAGCTGATGTTCATCCAGAGCAGAGGCCAAGTTCAGTTAACCATTGAACTGCTGGACACAGAGGAGGAGAACTCTGATGACCCTGTAGAAGCAGAGGTAAGAGCCGCTTGGCCAGAGAGCTGACTGTGATGGTCGAGGGTGCACTGGATGAAGATGTCCAGTCAGTTGTTTGCACAAGATAGAGACGTCAACAAAGCATTGTAAAGCTTTCAGTGATGTGAGTAGGTAAATCCTTCTTGGTTTATTTTATATTAGAGAAGCCAAAAAACCACAAAGAGAAGCATTGTACCTGCCTTTATAGGAACAAAATACAGGGAGCCTTCAGAGATGTTCTGGTGCTCTCCTGTGTGACTTGCAGCTTATCCTCCTTACCACCCCACGTGGTTCTGAGGGAAAGCAGTGTCTGATGTTGTTGTGTGCTCACTTCCAGCGCTGGTCAGACTATGTGGAGCGGTACGTCAACTCTGACTCTACCTCCCCTGAGCTCCGGGAGCACTTGGCCCAGAAACCTGTCTTCCTCCCCAGGTGAGTGACCAGGCTGTGCCGTGAACACTCCCCGATGGGTCTGTCCCTTGGAGGGCAGAGGGTTGCACTCTCCTGCAGCTCTGAACCTTTGGTCTCACCTGTATTTTAATGCCACTACAGAAGCCATTACTCTGGCAGTGCGGCATAGAGGTACCGTGCTGCTGGTTGTCCAGAAAGCCTGTGGGTCCACCCTGGGCTCCTGCTCTCCAGTGACTGAGAGATGGCATGATCTGCAGGTGGCAGAGAGGGTGAGGGCTGGGGACTTGCCAGAGTGCTTTCTGGCACTCCTGCCTTGGTTTACAGTAACTCTCTGCCTAAAACAATCGGGTGCCACACCAGGGAACTGATTGCAAATAACCATGGTTTCAGAAATAGATAAATCCCATGGGATGACTTGTTGTAGGGGCCTGAACCTGAATGAATTTAATACAAGCTGTTGGTCAGGTTCTTGAGGGGCCAGCACAGATCCACCAGCTACCTCCAGCCTAGCAGTCCTAGAGGGTGGGCACTAATTCCAAGAGGGATTCTCTGGTTTGCAGGAATCTGAGGCGGATCCGTAAATGTCAGCGTGGTCGGGAGCAGCAGGAGAAGGAAGGGAAGGAGGGAAACAGTAAGAAGTCCATGGAGAACGTGGAGAGCTTGGACAAGCTGGAGTGTAAATTCAAACTGAACTCCTATAAGATGGTGTACGTGATCAAATCGGAGGATTACATGTACAGGAGGACCGCTCTGCTGCGAGCTCAGCAGGTAGGAGTGAGTGGAAGGACTGGGGTGGGCAGCTGGGCTTTCCTGGGACCTCTTGCTCCTGAAGTCAGGTGGGGAAGAGTCAGATGGAATGTCCCTGGGGGGGGTCCCAGGGTAACATTTAGCAGTCTTTGTGTTGCCAGGAGGATGGTGTGCTATTCTGTCTTTCCCAGACACCAAAAATCTACTGAATGTTCCTAAGGTGTAATCTTTTCTTCCTGCCTTCTACTCTGCTCATCCTCTCGCCTCTCCCCTTCTCTCCAGAGTGTGTTATTGTGGTAGGACAGTGGTTTTGACCGTTAGCTCCTCAATTTTTTTCCAGGAGGCATTTTCTCTGCATGGTGATCCCCTTGTTTTAGGGAAGACCTGTCCTCTGCATGCAATTGTAATGCCTTTTGAGGGGGCCTGTTCTTCCAGGGCTTCCCCAGTAAGAAAGCAGAGTGCAGAGCATCAAACGTTCTCTGTCCCAGGCAATCCTTCTGGGTACCATCCCTCAACCCTTCCTGTCCCCAGTCACTGAGAGCGGGAGTCCTCTGGTCGCTCCTGCATGGCCGAGCCCCACACATGCACATACAATGGCTGCTCCACAACCACTGCTTTTGTGTCAAGGACAAGTGCAGGAGAACTCACAGCTCCACATATCACTGTGGGTGTTTTCCTGGGGATCTGAAATCCTGGTCTCAAGGAGTAATTTGGGTGGAGAAAACTGGTCAGGTGTACAGAATGTTCTGACACTGTTTTCGTGTCCCATGGGAATATTTCTGCCTAGTGGAGAAAACCAGGGGAACTTTAAGAGCAAACTCCAGTTAGTATGGCTATTTAGGTTTGAAGTTTCAAGTACTTCACCTTAATATTATTACAGTCTACTTAAAACAAAATGTTAACCAGAGTGCCATTGCTTAGAATGTCAAAAGAAAGTGAAAAGTGTCAGACTTTGGTGAAAGCTGCTGGCTTAGGCAACCAGAAGCAGAGGTACCTGGGGGGCTCTGTCAGCAGCAGTGTCTCCTGTAGCTGCAGAGACTGGGTTTCTGTTTATTCAATTATTGTCTTCCTGAGTGAACTACTGACCGCTGAGAAAATTGGCTGGGAGATGAGGGAGTGGGAGAAGTGTCCTCTGCTTCCTGCCTAGGAAATCATCCCTTCACAGCTCTGTTGGACGTTTATTTAAACTTCTAAAACGACTGCTCTCATCTGTTTCTTGCTGATGAAATACAAGTAATGGTTTTATTTAATTAGCTGTAATTTTGTTAAACTCGTATTCACATCAGATAAGAGTGTTCTGTTTCAGTATTGGGTCTTTGAAATGTTGATACTGAAGATTTTGATTGATTGAATTCCATCTACCCAATTCAATTGGCTCAAGGTTGAAAAAGTTACCTTATAAGCAGGATACCATGTGCTGGTGCTTATCACAGAGCATCTTAACCTAGCCAAATTACTGAACCTCTTACACTATAGCGCACAGTATAACTTCTCAGTATGCTGAAGGAACTACAGAAGCTACATTTAACCACAAACCTGTTGGACTACATGGTGGGATACAAGAAAATACATTTTAAATTAAAAAAAAAGAAAGAGGAAAAAGAGCACCGTGACAGAATGGCCTGTTTTTGGCACAATTTCTTGGTATTTCTGAGTTCTTTTTGTCCTGTAATTCTCTTAGAGGTAGGCTTCTTGGAAGGAGGCCTGTGGGCCTTTCCCAGGACTTTCCCTCTGTCGCTAGCAAGGGCCAGCACCTGTGCTGCAAATCTTTTGGCCATATTGCCTCACAGCCTGGCCTCTTTGCCACGCGTTACATGGTAGCTTGGGGCTGGAGCCACCTCTCTGTAACACCTTTTTGTTTCTGTAGTCCCATGAAAGAGTGAGCAAGCGGCTGCACCAGAGGTTCCAGGCCTGGGTGGACAAATGGACCAAGGAACACGTCACCCGTGAGATGGCAGCCGAGACAAGCAAGTGGCTAATGGGCGAAGGGTTGGAGGGCTTGGTGCCCTGCACCACCACCTGTGACACAGAGACCCTGCACTTTGTGAGCATTAACAAGTACCGCGTCAAATACGGCACAATATTCAAGACACCATAAATGCCCTGGGCCAGGAAAGATCCCGGGAGATGTGTGTGTGTGCGTGCGCATCAAGGAAATGAGGAAGATGCCTTTCTCCCCTCACTGTGTATCTCCGTAACATGGCCACTTGACTAGTGTGTGGCTGGTACAAGCTGTCACCAGCGGGATTCTCTGTAGGAACATCGGTGTTCCAGCACCTGCTGGGAGCCCTGCCCGCCGGCCCTTGGACTTCAGCATGCACCCCACAGGGAAGGACCCTCCTGAACTTGAGCGGTCCTGGAGAGACGCAACGAGCTCATACGCACCAGCAGTGTTGAGGCTTTATTCCCCGGTGGCCTGAGCAGCGAGGGAGGAGAAATGGAGGAGGCTCTCCACCACCTGACCACCTCGGTGGTCTTCAGATTCCTTGCTTGGATGTGTCCCGCAGCCCAGAGGTGCTGGGCTCCCCTGCGGGCCCTCAGACCCTCGGTTCCTCCCTTCCTTCCCCTCCCTCCCATGCTGGACTCAACCAGTGCAGATTGGTCTGTCCTTTCTAGTGCCAGTGGAACTGTTTTTTTGTACCTGCTTGTTTACTAGTCTCTCCTAGTGCCATGCACCAGCTTTTCACACACATGTACGTACACACACACAACAGAGAACAACACAATTTTAACATGTTCCCCTCCTTTTTTGTAAATAAATGTACAAATTGTCAATTTTTTTGTTTTTTTTTTTTGGTTGTTTTTTTTTTTTTTTTTAATTAAAGGAAGTATGCTTGATGTGCTAGCATAACTGTACTAGCTTCTTGTGTACCATAGTACCAGGTGGCTTGAGAATTAGTACTGACAGACAGACCTATGAGGACATTTATTACACTTTTTACCAAAGGGAGTTATCATTGTAGTGCTTTTGTGTGGAAACTTTTTTCTCCTTTTTTTGTAAATAAAAATGATGTCTTTGTTCTTACTGGAGGAAGACACTCGCTCATCCACAGCCCTGTTCCTGGTCTGAGATGCACCGTGCAGCATGCAGCATTGGGGGATGAAGAGAGGGAGTGCGTCCCACCTTGTTACGATTGGCTTCACAATCTGAGAGGAAAAAGCAGAGGCAGCGTGCGTGTTTTGTGCTTCACACAACTGAGGTATAAGCGGTCTGTTGAGATATATAAATATATATTATATAGTTTTTAATTTTTTTAATGTTTTTGTTCCGGTGGGTAGTTTTTATCCACCTAGTCTTCCAGCTCCAAGGACCTTCGCTTTTGGGAGGTGTTGCTGAGCTACTTAGCTGAGGTTGATTGTGCTTGTGTATTTTTCCCTCTCAGTATTGGAGAAAACATCTTAAGTACCAAACCAGTATTGGATAGAGCTGCTCTGTGTGTGTGTTGGTGTGTGCGTGCAAGAGAAGGGCAGGGGCCGGGGTGGGTCTTGGTGCATTTCACTAGTGAAATCCACATATGGGATATATATTTTTTTAAGTATAGAAGTTTAGCGCTGGCAGATATTTAAACACAGGGAAGATTCTGATTTTAAAATGAAGTCGACATATAGACTTCGTAAGCCACGACAGACACAACTGCACTGTCTCTCCTCCTCAAAGGAGGCAGCTTTCCTTGCACAAACCAGTGCTGCCAGTATGAGCCCCCCAATCTGCTTCCCTCCTTCCTGGTTTGGGAGCGTGGCTTTGCTGCTGCTGTGACCACAATCTGGCAGGGATCTCTGGGCTGGCAGCTTGTCTCCTTCCTGTAGCAGAGAGCCGGGTGTGCAGAACTAAGGGGCACAGACAGAGTCCCAACTCATTGGCAGCCCGTGTGCAGGAGGCAGGTCTGGCTGTGGCGGTGACCGGGAGCCTCCTATGGAGAAAGGAAAATAGAGGGAAGCGCCCAGCAGGGAATAGCCAGAGTTTGCCAGCAATAAGTTCCCTATCGTTCCATTGGAAAGGTTTCTTCCCTACCCCTTTTTCCTCTGTATGCTGAAGGTGATCCAGCAGTGAACATGTGGGCGGCGGAGGCCTGGCTTGGGGCAACGCCTGCGTGTCACAGGGCCCTCCCGCCCTGCCTGGCTGTACCATAGCAACAAGGCTTCTCTTTTTATTTCAACTCGCTTTTTGTATTCTGTAACGTGATCCTCGGCCCACTATCCATGTGATTTCTATACCAATGTTGTAAACTTGACTGTAGTGCAGTATTTCCATTAAAATATCAGGGCTAACTGCTGTGTACGGATCCTTCTTCCCACCTCACACTGTGAGCTCCCAAGGCTGGGCAGTGCATGACGCAGGGGGGCCAGGCTCCCCATTAAGACACCGGGGCAGCAAGCAGTGGATCACCACGAAGAAAGAAAGCCCCACTGAGCTGCTAGCAAAGTAGCCATGCAGCAACTAAGCAGGGCTCTCCCAACAGGGCTCTGAAGGGCAGTGGCTGCGTGGAGTAGCCAGGCCCGGCCTGCAGGCCTCACTTCAGGCTCCAGCGCGGCCTGCAGGCCTCGCGTCAGGCTTCAGTGCGGCCTACAGGCCCCGGCCTGTAGGCCTCGCCCCGGCCCGGCCCGGTCCGCTCAGCGCTGTGCCGCGCTCTGCGCATGCGCGACGCATCCAGCGGGCGGCACGGAAACGCATGCGCAGTAGCGAGGTGGGCGCCGCCATGCTGAAGCACCGGCGTACGGCGCTGGAGCGCGTCGAGAAGTTCGTGTCCGCCACCTACTTCACCGACTGCAACCTGCGGGGCAGGTGGGCCGCGGGAGGGCCGCTGCTCCGGGTGTGCCGGCTCGGGAGAGGCCTCACCTCGGTGTGTCCCCACGGGGGAAGCGCTGAGGCGGTTCAGTGCGTAGAGGCCCGGCCTCGGGTGGGCAGCTGTAGTTCCTTCAGTGTTATCAGGAGCTGGGGGTGGTGGGCTGGAAGGCCCCGCTTGCCACGTCCCATTGCCTGAGCTCACCGCGTCCCCATGACGTCTGCCCGCAGGCTCTATGGGGACAGCTGCGCGCCCACCTCGCTGTCCTGCTTCCAGACCCCACTGCGGATCCCCTACAGCGAGGCCGTCGTGCAGGAATTCAGGCCGGCCAGAGTGGGGGACACCTTTGGGCCCACGTGAGTACGGGCTGTCAGCACCCGCAGAGCTGGCGGGCTCGGCCGTGACACCGTGCGCCCCTCCCTGCTGTGTGCTTTGGTGGAAGGTGCCCGCCTAGCAGCTTGTGCAGCCCGCCTGCTGCCGTCGGGGCTGAGAGTCGTTGTGAGGGCTGTGCGTCCAGGAAGGGGCTTCTGCAGACTGAGTCCAAACCCTGTTAAAGCAGGTTCCCTACTGCAGGTCGGCATCCAAATGGATCTTGAATATCCCCATAGGAGACTCCACCACCTCTCCGGGCAGCCTGTTCCAGTGCTCTGTCACCCTTACCACAAAGAAGTTCTTCCTCTTGTTTGTATGGAACTTCTCATGTTCCAGTTTTTGCCCGTTGACCCCTGTTTGATTGCTGCACACCACTGAAAAGAACCTGGCTCTGTCCACTTGACTCCCACACATTAGATATTTATAAACAGTTACGAGATCATCACTCAGCCTTCTCTTCTCCAGACTGAACAGTCCCAGGTCTCTCAGCCTTTCCTTGTACAGGCAGTACTCTAAGCCCTGGTCATCTTTGTGGCCCACAAAGAAGATCCCTGTGTTTTTTTGAACTGGGTAGTCCAGACTGGCTATGAGGTCTCACCAGGGCAGAGCAGAGGGCAGGATCACCTCCCTCAACCTGCTGGCTGCTCTCTTCATGATACACTCCAGGATATCATCAGCGTTCTTGGCCACAAGGACACACTGCTTGCTCATGATCAGCCTGTTGTCCACCAGAACCCCTAAGTCCTTTTCCTCAGGGCTCCTTTCTATCAATTCAGTCCCTAACTTATATAGGTGCGTGCAGCTGTTCCTACTCACAGGGCCATACTCTTGCTCTTGTTGAGGCTCATCACATTCCTCTCTGCCCAACTCAGCAGTCTGTCCAGGTCTTGCTAAATGACAGCATGGCCTTCTGGTGTGTCAGCCACTCCTCCCAGATCTGTATCACCATCATTTCATATCAAAGCATGTCCTCTCTGATTTCATTACCTTATGGATTGCTTAGAGGATTACCTCTTCACCCCACTCTGCTGGGTTTTTGGCTGGCTGTCGCATCTTTAACCTGCAGCACTGCCATGAGCCAGTGTGGTTAAAGAGCAGACAGGTCCACAGCCTGCTGGAAGGGGAGGCCCAATGCATTTAAATGGGACAGGATTGTCCTGTGTAGGTGTTGTGTCCTCCTTGAACTCGATATCAAGGATGCTTGATCACTTGATGCTGGTTCACTGACAGCCACACAGGGAGCTGCTTAAAGCATGTCTGTGCAGACAGATAGCTTTGTTGCACTGAGCACATTGCACTTGTGTGGTGTCCCTGCTGCTTTTTGCCCACAGAGGTTTAGAAGACACGAGGCTTCTCTTTAGGAAGGTCTCAGCAGTGGGTGAGGTGCTGTGCATTCTCTTCCAGGTGGGAGACCTGCTGGTTTAGGGTGGAGCTGAGCATCCCCCCAGCATGGGCAGGACAGGAGGTGCACTTTGTCTGGGAGAGTGATGGTGAAGGCATGGTGTGGCGAGATGCCCAGCCAGTCCAGGTAAGGAGGGGCGGGTCAGGTGTGTGCCAGCTATGCCAAGTCTTCTGCTATCTTCAGAGCAGTTGCCTCCCTCAATCCTCTTTAATGGAGCAGTAGAAATCCCTTTCTGTTAGTTATACGTTCCTCGGAGTAATGTCTGCTTGTGTTGTTGGGGAGAAATAACACATGGACCAAAGGGAGAGAACCAAGAATAACTGGCGGCCTAGACAATGTGGTCATGAAAGAAAACATGAAGTGTATTTATAGCTGTGGTTCAGCCTTAAGAAATAAACCAAGGCAGCTTGAGAAGTCTTTAAATATGTGAAAAACTTCAGTGTAGAGAGGGGCACTTATGAAATCACAGAATATCCAAAATTGGAAGGGACCCTTGGGGATCATCGAGTCCAACTCCTGGCTCCACACAGAGAGGCTGGCGTGTGGGGCAGGAGAGAGGCTGACACTTGTGGTTTGCTTACTTTGCTTTGTGATAGACAGAGGGTCTGTGGGCTGTAACCAAAGTTCAGTCTTGACAGTCAGGCCTGCTTGTAGTCTAGTACTCCTTTGGGAAGCACTGTGCTATGACACAGTGGGACCACAGCCCTCCATCCAGCAGGGCTTTGTGGTGTTCTGTCTGTCCAGCAGCTCTCTAAAGCCTGCTGACATAGGCTTATGTAAATGTGGGTTAAATGTGCTGCCTTTCCCTTTAGGGTTTGACTAAGGAAGGCGAGAAGACCAGCTACATACTGACAAGCAGCCTGAAGGAGACAGAGCCCCACAGGTGAGCGGTCAGCTTGGCCAAACTCTGTGCTGCTAGGGGAACTTGGTGGTGAAATAACCAAAGCTGGGGTGCCATACTCAAGCCTGCATCAGGGTACTCAGTGTGTCTGTCAGAAGTTCAGTTGGACTAGTCCTGCTGTGGGGTAGGAGTGGGCTTTGCCAGCTGAGTTATCTGACCCCAGGGGTCACTTGTAATCTGCTTCCTGATGGTTTCCTTCTGGTCTCTGCAGTCTGACGCTGTATGTGGAGCTGGCCTGCAATGGGCTCTTTGGGGCTGGCAAGGGCTCCATGATAGCCCCCCCGGACCCTGACAGGAAGTTCACCTTGAGCAAGGCTGAGTTGGTTATCTTCAACAGGGATGTCTATGAGCTGCTGGTGGATCTGGAAATACTTCTGGACATGGCCCAGGTCTGCGTGCTCATTCTCTTTCTTTTTCTCAGCATTTCTGCCTCCTACAATTTCTACATTTTATCTCCTTCTTCCATGTCCCAAGACCTGTTTCCTCCCACCAGGAGGCCCCAGAGGAATATGTATTTGCTCCCACTGCTTTGGCATGACTGACATTGTCTGCAGTATGAGAAAACCAAATGAGGAGACAACACAGGTGGCTGCTGCATCTACCTCCTGGTCTAAAACAGAGTCTGTTAGGCCAGAGCCCTCTGGTGTTGAGTGTATGTGTAACTTGGCTGTAGGGAAACACATGCAAAGGCAAGGTTTTATCTGTGAAGCAGGGACGTGGTGTCTGCCTGAAACCACTGGCAGAGTGAGGTGTTGGAAGGAGGTAGCGGGTTCTCCCTGAGACAAATGTGTCCATACTGGTGCAGAGAGCCAGAGAGCTCAAAGTCAAGCTGTCCTCCTTCCCACCCTTAGCTCCTCGGGGAGGAAAACCAGAGGAGCTTCCAGGCCCTGTATGCTGCCAACCAGATTGTCAACGTGTGTGATGTTAAGGACCCATCCACCTTCCCTGCTGCCCGTGAGCTGGCTGCAGCGATCTTCAGCCAGAGGAACGGCGAGAGCCAGCACACCATCCACGCCATGGGGCACTGCCACATTGACTCTGGTGAGAGCAGTACAGCTTTCCCTCTCTACTGGCAAGGATGGCAGTGCTGGCTGCCCTTGGGCAGCAGGCACCAAGCCCTGAGGGAAAGGAGAAGGGATTTCTGTGCTAGCACACAGCTGGTCTGATAGGGCAGTGAGGCAGAGGGATGTGTGTCTGGCTAGCTGTGTGGTCTGGAGCACTGGTGGGGCTGCTGATGGGAGATGGATTACAGACCACTTTTTTCTGCCTTTTGGACATCACCCCTCAATTTCCAGTCCCCAGAGAGGACTTCAGTTTAAACAGAGAGGCAGCAGAGGCCCCAGACCTTGGTGCCGTCAGGCACATCAGTCAAAGGATAGCATTTTGCTGTTGCATTTTCCCTGGTTGATCTTTGAAAGACAGTATGGTCCCATTCCCAAAGGAGTCTGCCTTATCCAGGCAGCCAGGGATGGTGCTTGTGCCAAGTAATAACCATGGTAGGGCCATGTGTCTGTCTCTACAGCCTGGCTGTGGCCATATGAGGAGACTATCCGGAAATGTGCTCGCAGCTGGGTCACGGTTATCCGTCTGATGGAGCACAACCCAGAGCTCACCTTTGCCTGCTCCCAGGTGAGCCATCTCTTTCCTGAATTGGTCACTCCAACCCCCAGGGGTCACTGCAGCCCTAGGCAGCCCTGAGGATTGGAAGTGGGATGTTTTGCTCCAAGCAGCACAAAGAATTGATGCCAAGCTCACTGAGGAGCTCTTCTGCTTGTGGCATGCTGCTTCTCCAGTGTGACTCCAGACGAGATGGGGGTGACCATGGTCCTGTGTGGTTACAGAGAGCAGGAACATTGGTGTGGAGCAACGTGGTGGGAGCTGGGGCTGACTTCTGTGTTCTGGCAGGCACAGCAATTCGAATGGGTGCGGAGCTGGTACCCTGGACTCTATGCCCAGATTCAGGACTACGTGGCAAAGGGGCAGTTCATTCCTGTTGGAGGCACCTGGGTGGAAATGGTGAGAAGCACGGTGAGCCTGGCTCACAGCACCTTTTTGTCTCTCCTCTGCAGTGCCAAGCTGCCTTATTGGGCAGGGTGACAGTGGGAGTGGGCTGGAAGCTTCTCCTATGCCTGGCTTGATACACGTGTTGCAAGAGAGGATGTTGACTCCTTGTGCTCTGCTCCCAGGATGGAAACCTGCCCAGTGGGGAGTCCATGGTGAGGCAGTTCCTTCAGGGCCAGCGGTTCTTCCAGCAGCAGTTTGGCCAGATCTGCTCAGAGGTACTTGCTCTTTTGCAGCATGCTTTCCTTGCACATGGTCAACTTCCACCTCTTGCTATCCTTCAAGGTTTCTCTCCGATTTGCCTTCCAGATATAATTTTCAGGGGCCTCACGTAGGCCTGATTTTTGGAACTAAAGCTGTGATGAGTGAATATCCAATCACCCATATATCCTGCCAGTTAGCACAGGACTTGGCCTTGATTTTATTATCTGCTGGTCTCTGGCAGGTGTCTGGAGTTGCTCCTTATTTAGCACGTCTTGTCTTCCCTCTGCATTAAGGCTTTAGAGCCAGGATACTCTGACGTGACAAACTCAAGTCAGTTTGACTCTTGTGTTTCTCTTCCTCTATTCCTAGTTCTGGCTGCCAGACACGTTTGGATACTCAGCCCAGCTGCCCCAGTTGATGTGTGGCTGTGGGATCAAACGGTTCCTCACACAGAAGCTCAGCTGGAACCTGGTCAACACCTTCCCAGTGAGTTGTGCTTCCCTTCTTCCCAGGGGTGGACATAGGGTTGCTGGAGTCTATCTGCACGGCTGGACCCATTTGTTCCACAGCTCAAGCCAGTTCTTAGTTCAGCTGATAGAGGCTTTTCTTCCAAAAACTCTAAGTTGTGATATGGAGAGAAAGGGAAGGCTTAGTGTGGATCCTCCAAGTTTTTGACGTGCTTGTCCCCTCTGCACTTCCCTGGATACTTGGGTGCTGGGTTTTGTGCCTGACAAGGCTTACAAGGGTACATGGGCTTCTAGTGCACAAGTTCTGTGCTGATGTGGTTGAGCTGCACTCTCCACATGCACTTTGGTCTGGGTTTGGGAGCTTTGAAACACTGAGCAAGTGCTGAGTTGATCACTTGCCTGTGCTGGCATGAGTTTTTTGGGAACTCCTGGGAATCATGGTCTGTGTTCCAACATTTGGACACTTTGTGACTCTTTGAGACACTATACTTTTCTCTGGCTTGCCTGCAGCATCACACCTTTTTTTGGGAAGGCATTGATGGATCCCGAGTCCTGACTCATTTCCCCCCTGGTGACTCCTATGGGATGCATGGGCGAGTGGAGGAGGTAAGTGAGCTTGCCAAACTTGCATGTGAAGTGCAATGCCAGCCTCATGGGGCCAGATTTGAGGTTTCTAACAGGGAACACTGTCGGAGGAGGGAGTGGGATTACCAAATGAAGGCCTTTAGTTAACTTGGTAGTTAGTTGCCTTCCTCTGTGATGTGTCCACGCCTGATTCTTGTGGTTTGGGCTGGGGAAGAGGGGCAAGGCTGACTTTCTTGTGTGGAGCAAGGAGAGCTGGGGCTGGGTACCAACAGACTGCAGCTGTCCAAAATTCTTTCTAGATGCTGAAAACAGTGAAGAACAACAGGGACAAAGGACGTGTGAACCACAGTGCTGTCCTTTTTGGCTTTGGAGATGGAGGAGGTGGCCCCACGCAAAACATGCTGGACAGGATGAAGAGGATGAGTGATACAGATGGGCTGCCAAGGTGAAAGATCCTTTCCTGCCTCCTTGCACAGACATAGAACACTTGTCACAGCCTTTATGGGCTCCCACTGCTTCTACTGAAGCAGCTGTGTACATAACATACAGATTAGACAAAGGGCTGTTGGGCTTGACGTGGGGAAAAATGATTTGGCAGCAATTCAAGGCATCAAATAACTGCTGCTCCTCAGCTAGCTTGCACCATGCCACTCTGTCTGTTGCCTGCAGTTTGTAATATGGGAGGATTTCAGAGCTGGCTGTTTCCATTCTTCAGTTAGTGGTCTCCTTTCTTCATGTGTAAGTGGTCTGCACCTCTGGCCAGCCAAGAGTCCCTCTGCACATCCCTCTTAGTTCTCTGTTAGGGTTTTTGAAGCCTCATTTCTGGAACTGACACCTTTCTGGTGGAAATACCCCATTAGCTGTGTCATGCACTTCTCTCCTGGCTCATTGCTATTTGTACCTCTCTCCCACAGGATTCAGTTCTCCACTCCTGACCATTTTTTTTCTGTCCTGGAGAAGGAGTCGTCACAGCTGTGCACCTGGGTGGGAGAACTCTTCCTCGAACTGCACAATGGCACATACACCACCCAGGCCCAGGTGACTGCATGTGTGGGATGGGGCAATGGGATCCCTCACCCTCAGGGAAAGTGGCTGTTTTCAGCTCTCTTTGCTACTGCTCAGGTGGCTCCAGGGCTTGGGTAGTGCCCTTTGTGCCTCAGCTCTGGGAGCCACCTTGCAGCCAGCACTCCAAAAGGCAGATCTGCTGTTAGTCTTTAGTCAGACTTGCTTCCAGGGTGAGAAGGGAGCCAATACACAGCAGACCCCCTCTGGTCAATAACTGCCATGTCCTGTACTTTAGTGGGGCCCTGATCATTGCAGAGGAGGGATGAAGAATTAGAAGAGAAGTGAGTGGAGTCTGGCCTAGGGGTTAAGCAGTGGCCTGTGGTGGGGGTTATAAAGCTGAAAGCCAGGTTGATCTGTGGCCAAAAAAGAAAGCTAGTAATGGCAGCTCATGACACTACAAGTAACCAACCTTCCTGCACTGAATCTGTGCTTTTGCTGCTGGTGTTAGAGATTCATTCCTGGCTACAGCTTTTCTAAGAATCTTCCTTCTCTTCCTGATTGGCACTAGATTAAGAAGGGGAATCGGGAGTGTGAGCGAATACTCCATGATGTGGAAGTGCTTAGCACCTTGGCTGTGGCACAGAGTGGCACGTTTCAGTATCCTGCTAGCCAGCTGCAGCAGCTCTGGAGGTAAGGAAGTACATGAGCATGACTGCTGTGCAAACAATAATTCTTCCATAAGCTGATGAGAACTTAATGGGAAAGAGTTTCAGTGCCTTGCTTCTCTTGTTGGAATCTTCAAACGTTCGCTTCAAATCCTTTGGAAGCTCCAAACCTTTACTGCTGTGCTGCCTGGAAATTTCTTCTCCAGCCTACACTTATCTTTGGCCAGTTTTGACTGGTCTGAACTCGTACAGTAATATATCTGGTAGTCCCAAGAGATTAAAAGAGTCAGCTCTTAATCTCCATGGTGTGGTTTACAAAGATGACAGTTGGCATGTCCTAACGTAAGGGGATTTAAAGTGTGCTATGCAAAAAAATCTCCCTGTTGTTTCCTAGTGGGGAACAGTTACTAAGTCTGTCTATCTTGCAAACAGGGCTTGGTAAGCTAGAACAAATCTAATGCTCTCCCCTGCTTCCTGGTTTGGTTTCTTTTCTGTTCTAGGTTATTGCTGCTCAACCAGTTTCATGACGTATTACCAGGCAGCTGTATCCAGCTCGTGGTCAGGGATGCCCTGAAGTACTATGCAGGTGAGCAGGGAGTTGGGCTAGGAGGGCACTTACTTACCTATTGGAGCACCTTGAGGCCTGCCTGTTGCAGAGGTTTCAATTTCAGACTGCCTGGCAGTGTGGGACAGGACCTATACAGCACAGTGTGTCAGACATGTGTCAGTAATTGGGCAAATTCAACCAGGAATGAGCAAAACATGTTACTGACTTCTGTGCACTAGCAAAGGTGGGAGCTGAGGATTGCTCCTGTCTGCCCACAGGTAATTGCAATTGCTTATTTTATTATAGCTCAGTAATTTTCCAATTGAAATGACATGGCTTACTGTAATCTTGTTGGAAAGTTAATAAGAACAATCATAAACTTTGCTTAATAGATAATGGTAATTAATATTAAAAATAATTAGTAATTGTAGCTTGGAAGCAGTTAGAGTGTATGTACTTTTCACAAGAGCTCCAGAAGTTTTCAGATGTGAGAAACTGCCTGTCTGGGTCCAATTTGGGCTGCTTTTTGCTCAGAGATCCGCAGGGCTGGCACTCGCCTGCAGGAGGAGGCCGTGCAGTCCTTATGTGGAGAACTGCTGCAGCTCAAGTCTGGGGGTGCTGAGAGCACTCTTGTACTCAACACTTTGCCCTGGGAGCGGACAGAGGTGATCTCCAGGACTGAGCCAGATGGAACAGAGGCTTTAGGTATGTCTAACTCAGAAGTAGCGCATGTATCATGTTTTCTTACAGTGGCAGAAACAGCCAGCAAAGAATTACTCTGCCTCTCCCTGTCCTGGAAAGGGTTTATTGATTTGCAGCTGCCCAGAGAGGCTGTGGATGCTCCGTCCATCCCTGGAGGTGTTCAAGGCCAGGTTGGATGGGGCCCTGGGCAGCCTGGCCTGGTATTAAATGTGGAGGTTGATGGCCCTGCCATCAGGGGGGTTGGAGCTTCATGATCCTTGAGGTCCCTTCCAACCCAAGCCATTCTATGATTTGTCAAAATGCTTCTTGGGGCTGATCCCACTTCAGATTGTCCCCGAATGACAAATAAAGAGGAGGGTGTGAATATGAGAGCACCAGGGCAACACAGTGTAACTTAAGGATGGGTGTGGGGAAGATGCTGAAACAAAACCTCTTTCCCTTCCAGCTCTGGTGACAGCTCCCAGCATGGGCTATGCTGTAGTGAGGGAATCACTGCTGCCCCCTCAGCCTGTGACAGTGATCAAGCAGGTAAGCATAACTGTGTTTGTCCTCAGATTGAAGTACGTGCTTCAAAGGCCGACTGGGGAGAAACGTAGGGGATCCAGTTCTACAGCTGTGAACTTCACACCCCCTCAACTCCTGAAGGCGTGAGTCTGTGAAATCTGCTTGTCCTTTTCTCCCAGGAGGATGGCTCCATTACCATGAAGAATGGGCTGATTGCAGTCTGCTTGGATGCCATGGGGCGCCTGACCTCTCTTCGACTGGTGAACTCTGAGAGGTGAGTCTCTCCCCTGCTTCCTGCATCTGGGCACCTAAAACCTCTCTCAGGCCTTCTCCTCACTGTGAGCCCTTCACCATTGCCTCTTCTTAAGCTGCTTTTCTCTGTTCTGCCTTGTTCTAGAGAATCAGTTGCCGATGGCTGCCGTGCCAACCAGTTTGCACTCTTTGATGATGTTCCCCTGTACTGGGATGCCTGGGACGTGATGGATTATCACTTGGAGACCAGGTAGAGGAGCACTGCCTGCAGCACTTAAGTTTTGACTTTGCTTGGAAAAGTTCTCACCTCCCTGTCAGTTTTAGCTGTAACCAAATCTCAGCACCTCTCCCTTCTTGGGTCATTCACTCTGTAGAAGCGAATATCTGCTGTGTGAGGCTGGACTGGGACTTGGGAACCTGGATCTGCTGGGCTGGGACTAGCTCTGCCTTTACCCCTGTCTCTAGGAAGCCAGTGACAACGCTGCTGAAGCCTCTGGAAATCACCCTGGCAGGGGGCCTGCGGGGAAGCACCAGCTTCTCTCTGCGGGTCGGGGAAAGCAGCACCCTAACCCAGGAGATCATCCTGGATGCCATGTGCCCATACATCTGCTTCAAGACCCAGGTGAGGCTAGTGGCTGCTGTGTTCCCTGGTGAGCTGGAGCTCAGCTCTGAGTTTTATTCCCCATCTTGTCTCCTGCTCTGGGGGCCCCCACTGCCTGTTGTCCTCCACAAAAGGTGAAGGTAGTCCCAGAAGGAGGTCTCTTGAGTGACAAGATGGAAGAAATCAGTCAGTTCTGCTGCTTGCAGTCTTTGGTGGTTGTTGTATTGTACCTGATCCAGCCTGGCTGGTAGCTGGCTGCTACACGTCAGGGGAGGATGTGTGCAATTTCTGCCTGTCGGCCCATGATGATGCCTTTCTGCTATTGCATTTAGGTTGACTGGAAGGAATCTCACAAGTTTCTGAAGGTGGAGTTCCCCGTGCAAGTCCGTAGCACAAATGCAACCTACGAAATCCAATTTGGGCACCTGCAGAGGCCAACACACTGGAACACATCATGGGACTGGGCCCGATTTGAGGTGAGAGAAGGTCTGGTCCCATGATGGACTGCTTTCCTTAGAGGCTTTGTGTGATGAATATGTCCCTTGGTATCTCCTGCAGGTGTGGGCTCACAAGTGGATGGATCTCTCTGAGCACGGCTTCGGGGTTGCAGTGCTGAATGATTGTAAATACGGGGCATCAGCACACAGGAACATCCTCAGCCTCTCATTGTGAGTGAGGTTGTGGTGAGGGTGGAGCTGCAGCAGTCATTGTGCTTTCTCAGGTGTCTGTTTCAAGTCAGGGCAGTGTCTGGTCCTGAATGATCATAGTTAATAAGGAAATAGTCTGTTGTTAGCCTAAGTGGGTGGCTGTCTTCTAAAACTTGTTAGCTGATGTAATTTAAATTGACTAAGATAATGTAATTCTGATGGCATACACTCATAGATAATGCCATTGAGCACAGAGCCACATTTGCACCAAGTAATTTTTCTGTTGCTGGCCAAACACACCCCAGGAAGGGAGACTTAGGGAAGGAAATGTCACTGTTACATATGCATACGAAGCTAAGAGAAAATGGATATTTTGACTCTTACCAGCTAAAAGTTTCACCACAATTCAGAGATTGATTTTAGCTTCTGGGATACTGTGTTTAGAGTCCCAGAATCCACCTCAGGACCCAAACCCAAAGTAGCTGGAGGAGGCAGTTGTCCTGCCAGTGCTCTGGTTGGGTGACAGAAGATCCTATGGAGAGTCCCATCTTACCCACCTCTTTCCTTAGGCTAAGAGCACCAAAGTCCCCTGATGCCTCTGCAGATATTGCCCACCACCAGTTCACCTACGCTGTGATGCCTCACCAGGGTGAGTAACAAGCAGAGTTGGACACTGTGAGGACACCCAGAGTAGAGGATGCTCCAGTGAGCTTCAAGTAGGCACAGGGTGCCTCCATCTCTGACTGTCAGTGCATAGAGACTGACTGGAGTTTCTCATTTTGCAGGCTCCTTCCAGGATGCTGGTGTGATCCAGTGTGCCTACAACTTGAATTTTCCCCTCCATGCAGTCCCAGCCAGCTCTGCGCCATCTCCAGCCTGGAGTGCCTTTTCCCTGAGCTCACCTGCAGTTGTTTTGGAGACTGTCAAGCAGGCAAGTCCCCCAGGAAGAAGCAGGGAGGTGGAGGGGGCAGTTTTGAAGCTGCTTGTTCAGCGTGGTCTGCTTTCTCTCCGGCACTGGGTGACAGGCAGGATTGGCTGAGTGACTACAGTCTTCTATTCTGCATGTCAGAGCAGCTCAGTTGAGATCATTTTGGTCTGGCTGAGGTATATGGATGTAGGTTAGGATGTTCCCATCTCCTCTGTGTGAACTCAGGTTTCTATGTTGTGTCTGCAAAGGCTGAGGACAGACCTGAAGCTGTGGTGGTCCGGCTATACGAGGCACATGGCAGCACAGTTGTCACTTGGCTCCAGACCTCCCTCCCCGTTAAAGAGGCAGTGCTGTAAGTGTGCACAGCAGGGCACAGGCAGGAGCTCAGGTCAGTCACTTCAGCTTCACCAGCTGTTTTCTTCCCCCAGATGTGACCTCCTGGAGCGGCCAACAGCCAAGGGCCACCTGCCACTGGAGCAGCAGGGTATGAAGCTTTCCTTCACACCATTCCAAGTGCTCTCCATCCTCTTGGTTTTGAGGCAGTGATGCTGGTGCTACAATAAAGTGGACCAACACTGGGAGCTCAAATCACAGCCCAAGGCTCCCCCATGGCACATCCAGGTAACCTGGTGGAAGTGCAGTGTCATCTCTTGGAACTGAGTCTGGCCATCAGTGCCCTCTTGCTGAGCCAGAGAGGAAGAAGGACCAAGCATTTTTGCTGACCAGAGTCCAGTGAGAATATTTCCCAAGAAACGTGCAATATTGAGCAGCTCCAGGGAAGAGCAAAGTCTACCCTACACCCTCAACCAGCCATCAGAGAGCAGTGCAGTCAGCCCCTCTCTTCTCTTCCTTCTCCTGTCTCCTGCACTGCCCTGGCAGAAGGGGGCACAAATAAGACAAAATTACATGAGAACATTCTGTTGTAGCTGCTGCTGCTCTGTATCCTTCCCCCTCGGTGGGATATTCCTTACCCCTGAAACTAAGGAGGCAGTGCTTACCTTTACTTTTGGAGGTGGGGTTTCTCCAGCCCATCTGGGAAAAAGGCTGGGCATGGTGGTGTTAGCCTTAGTACAAGAAGGCAGGTACACCAATTTTTACACAAAATACTTTTATTAATCATCTAAAAACAGCTTTCTTAGTGATTCAGGGAGTAATTAAAAAAAGGAAGAAGGAATATGATTTAAAGTATAGGAAGGGATCAGAATCTGACACGATGCACAGTAGTCCCTCTGAGGAACTGATTCTAAAACCACTCCGAAGGGACAAGCAAGGTTGTAAAAAAATATTTAAGAACAGAAAGGGGGAGGAACACCCGCCTGCCCCCATCCCTGAGGCTGCAAAAGCAGTAGTGCTGCAAGGAGCAAATGCTACAAGCAGGCATGCCTGAAAGCAACACCAGGCAGCCCAGGCCAGTGTGTCTTCACAGCAGAGGCAGTGTCACACGTTTCCAGAGGCTGAGGTGTGCAGAAAGCAGTGTGCAGTACTCACACTACAGCGGCTGCACCTGGAAGGTGGGGAGGGAAACAAGAAAGCAGAAGGTGAGGTGGTGTCTGGCTCTGCCCTGCAGAACCCTGATCACTCTTTTGCCCTTTGCCACCCCCTCGGTCCAAAAGTCACAGGGACCACCAGCCTCACCTTTGCCCCTGCGTGCTGAAGTCCGGTTTCTTTTTGCTCTGACTGGAACATCTGGCTCAGATAAGGCTGGAGCAGCAGCCACTTTCTTCCTCCCACGGGCACGTCCCTTCCTTGACCCATCAGGCACTGCCTTCTCTTCCTCCTCCTTTACGGCTGGCTTCGGGGGCTTCTCTGCACCCCCAGAACGCCGTTTTGAGGCACGTGTTGTGACCTGGATTGACAGAGCCAGGGCTTAGCAACAGAAGCATGCACATGAGAGGGGAACATGAAGATTCATGCATCACTTGGTGACTGTGAGAGCAACCTGAGAGGGCAAAGGAACCAGCCTCTAGCCCCAGCAGCAGTCTCACCAACCACAAAACTTTGTACCGTGGGGGTTGGAGCTTCAGGGTCTGCCTTCAGGTGAGCATGCTTCTTGTGGGACTTCTGACCTGTGAGATGACATGCTCAGGTTAGGGAGGTGAGGGGGACAAGGGACACCATCCCGAGTAGTGACTGGGAACTCAGGTGTTGGAAGGATTCAAGGTGGTTCCCCTCCCCTCCCAACAGATTTGTTCCTTTCTCAAACCACAGTGAGATACCAGGCTTCTGTTCACACCCAGTCCTAGAGTGTGCCCTCCTGCTCCGAGCCTGGCAGGCAAGGAAGGGGATGTAGCTGCCCTGGCAAACCACCCTGCAGGTGCAGAAGCTGTGCACAAGCAGGCTGATGTACTGCTAGGAAGCCATGGGCACAGTAAGCTTCATCCCCTAGTGCCACCCAGCTGCCAAAGGACTGTCAGCAAACCAGGGACCTGCAGCACCCGCCTTCAAAGTAGGACCGTGCTCCTCTGGCTGTGAACAGACTGGTTCCTCCCCATGCTCCAGCCCTCCTGGAGCAAGAGCGGGTCTTGTGGAGAGGAGGGAGGACACTCACCTTTGGGAGCCATGGGGCCAGGCTCTCCCTGCAAGGAAGGTGACAGAGCAGTGACTGGGATAACATCATTCTACAGGGATCGCCAGCAAGCATCCCATAAAAGCACCCTGTAGCAGCTTCCAGCAGGAGCAGTGAGACCCTTCTGCACCCCACAGCCAAGACAGGAATAGGCAAACAGACACATGCCCCCACAAACCCAGAGGAACCTGGTGCACTGTCTGTCTCTGAGACTCCCTGCTCCTTCTACAAGGCTCCATCACTGCACCTCACCCAGGAAGGAGGAAGAGTGCTGCCAAACCATTGGGTAACACTCAGCCCCTCTGCTCAGGCTGCCCTCTGTCCCTCAGCAGCTGTGTCCCTGTCACTACCACCTACATGTCTGATGGTCACAGCAGGCTCTGGGAAAGGGAGATGCCCAGAGATACAGCTCGAGGAAGCAATGCACAAGTGAAAGATTATCCCCTTGGAGGAGCGATAGGGGTACCCAGCCCCAAGCAGAGACCCCAGACTCCTACCTGGAACCATATGGTCCTGTTGTTGCGGTCCCGCAGGGAGCTCATGCCAGGCACTAAGTAACACTGCAGCCAGTTCTTGAAGGCAGCATAGTTATCCGAGTCAGAAGGGTCAAAGAGATTTTTATCTAGGAAGGAAGAGAGGGAAAGGAAATGGAGAGAAAGCTCCATTTCCAGAGACTGGGCCCAGGGCTGCCAGGTCTTTGTTCCTCAGCTCCCTGCTTTGTAGCCTCACCCGATGCCACAACCTCCATGGGCACCGTGTGGCACAGCTCCAGGAGATCTGGGTTATCTCGTTTCAGCTTCAGCTTCTTACTCAATGTCAGGGAAGAATTCTGCAGGGACAGAGAAGTCGCTTGCCAGCTACCCCATTGGGATCTCTTCATCCCCAAACCAGCCAAATCCTGTATCCCCCCTCAGCCTCTTGCCAGGGGGCATGCCAACCCACAGGCCACACTGTAGGCTGTGAATTGTGCACTACTAGCACAGCTACGGGGACATGAAAACAGGGCAGCACACAGGAGCACGAGCAGTTTGCTAAAAAGAAGCCTCAGGTTGTGTTTTGTTGTTTTTTAAACTTCCTGAAAACAACCACCCACTTTCCCCTGGGGCTGCAAGATTAGAGTACATGGACAGCAAGCCAGCCACAGGTTCAGCTGCAGCCTTCCCCAGAGATTTCAAGCTTGCATGATATTTGCTTTCCTTGCCACTTCCTCTTTACCCTCTTGACCTGAAGGCACATGCCTGAGGAGCTGTCACAGCTTGTTGGCATGGCCACGTGCAATTGCACGCCACGTGTGTGCTGTTATGGAACAGCTGTGCTCACTTGCTGCTCCACTGGAGGAGCAGGCATGCTCTGACACGGGTGTTTGTGGCAAGAACAACAACAAGCTTGATGAGAGAGACCCCAGTCAGCAAGTTACAAAGGGAAAATGCCTGCTGTTATGTTGGGAAACCTGACTGTGGCTGCTGGATGATAGCAGCAGGAAGGGTTCAATCAATTACACTTCAAAACCTGTCCAGAGCAGTAAACACCTCCTGACAGCAGCGGGAACAGAGGCAAGGAGCTGTGTGAACCCTGCAAGGACCTTGTGGCAGTTTGCAGCCCCATCACAGTGAGGTACTAAATGTGAACTGAAACCAGCCCAAACCCTGGGACTCCACTACTGAGCTCAAATCCAAATCCATAATGGCACTGAAGGGCAGGGGCCCCCAGGCCCAAGCACAGCAGCCTGGAAAGCACCACACATCCTCCACTTTTTCCTCCTCACCTGCTCCCGATGCTTCAGGGCTTCCAGCACAGTCCGAGCCTTTTCAAAAGGAGGGATCTTCGCCCTGAGAGAGTCCATCTGTTACAACCAAGCCCGACGCAGCCTGAGGTGCTCACATTTTGCTTTGGAAGAGGCTGAACTCAGTGAGATGGTGGGGCTGCAGGGACAGCAGCAAGCAGCGCTGCACCCTCAGGGACGTGGCAGCTCACCTGTACAGGATCTCAGCACGGAGGTAATTGCCGATCCCATTGAAATACTTCTGGTTTAACAGCGCCTCGCAGATGGGCTTGTCGAAAGCCTTATCCTCCAGGTTGGTCAGCACGTTCTCCCTGTAGCACAGCACGAGGCACGCACGGGGCCGCGTCCCACCGCGCTGCCCAGCCTCCTTCCCGTCTCCATCACCGCGACAGGATGCCGGACACCCACCTGAAGGCCGCGTACTCCAGCAGGACGCAGGGCCCGCGGTCGGGCTGCCATTCCTCTCCCAACCGCCAGGTGCCGAAGCGCCGGGGATCCACGAAGCAGAGGGCGCGGGGGGGGCTCTCACGGGTGAAAAAACACAGGTGCGCGTGGCGGGGCGGGCTGGAGGCCTCGCACAGCCGGAACGAGCCCGACATGCCGAAGCGGAACACCAAGGCCTGCGAAGGGCCGGGGCCCAGCGGCTCCAGCGTCATCCGCAGCTCCTTGCCGCGGGAGGCGGCCGTCACCCTGTAGGCCTCGCTGCTGAACGGCACCTCCGGGCCGCGGCCCACGGCCGAGCGCTGCACGCCGCCCTCGAACACCAACCCGCCGCACGCCTCGTTGATGTAACGGCCGGCCAGGTGCAGCTCCGGGCATTCCGGCATGGCGACGGACCTCCGCACCGCCGACACACCGACACCGCTCCGCGCCGCGGCCGGCCCCGTTGTCTGGCGACACGCCCCGCTCACCACCCATTGGCTGCGCCGTTGCCTGGCGACGCCTCACCCGCTTCCCATTGGTTTGTTCTATCGCGTGGGACACACCCCCTCACCTCCCATTGGTCGCTTGGGACTGCCCCCCGCCAACCAGCCATTGGTTATCCCATTGCTTGGAGATACGCCCCGCCCCTATTCCCATTGGCCCCGCCTCCGCTCCGGGGCATGCCGGGAATGGCCGCCTTCACGTCGCCATGGCAACGGCTGCGCTGGGCTTGCACGGCCCGAAGGCCCCGCGGGCAAGAAGAGGCTGACAGAGCTCGGGCTTCGCTCCCGCACTTTATTACGGGGACATAACATACGTATTATATACGTGACACCACCGCCGGGCCGCGTCCTCACAGGAGGGTCTTCATCAGCGCCTGGGCCTGCTTCAGCTCTGCGGGGTGGAGAAGCTGCGGCATGGAGCGTTGTTCTGAGGGCCTGCAGAGCCCTGAGAGACAGGACGGGGCTCGCTCCCTCAGCCCCAACCCCACCCCATCCTCACCTGCCAGCAGCACCCGGAATTTCTCCGCCGACACGGCCATGGGCACGGCCTCAGGCTCCCCGTGCTCCCGGTGCCGCACACGCAGCAGCAGCTGCACCAGAGGTTCGCCCACATCCTGCAGCTCGCTGGAGCTCAGTGTATAATCCACCCGCCACGACACGCCATCCAGGCGGCTCACTGCAGTGCAGGGCTGTGTCAGTGCCTGGCCTGGTCCCATGGCTCAGCTCAGCCAGGGCAGCACAGAGCCAGTGTGTCACCCCCGGATGGGACATCACCAAGGAAGAGACTCAGCCCCCGCCCCCCCTCCCAGCCTTGCACCCAAGGGTTGCATGGTATGAGTGGGACACTCACATCGGAGGCTGCCAGCCCTGAGGCTGTCCTGCAGAGAGCTCTGCTTCTCCTCGTAGGAGCGGCACAACCCTGTGGCGTGTTCTGCCCGAGAAGAAAGATGGGAGAAACAGTGAGTGCCTGCTGCTGCCAGCCCCGACCCTGGGGCAGCCAAACCCCAGCAGGGAGGGAACAGGGCAGGGCTTGGAAAGCCAGGGGTCTGACAGAATGGACATTAGAGGACAGCCAGCATTGTGCACTGCTCACTGTAGGACTGGGCATAACAAGGTAGCACCTGCTGCAGATATGTGCCCCCATCCCACGCCCCACCTTTGGGCAGTCCCAGCTGCTGCAGCTCACTGGACAAGGATTCACCATCCACATTGTGCTTGGCTGCATTGGAGAGGATGAAGTCGAGCACAGCAATTGCAGCCTTCACATCACCCGACTCTGCGGGGAGGAGGGGGCTCAGCTCAGCAACAGACAGACCAACCCCTGAGGGGTGGCTGCCTCCTGCAGGGCTCCCAGCACAGGAGGGGAATGGGGCTCACCAAGCTTGGCGTCCGACGTCAGCTTCAGGATTTTCTCATACTGCAGGACAGAAGCACACGTACTAATTAATTATACAGTAACATACCTCTTTCCATCAGTACTACAGCGCTGTATAGTATTGCAATACTATAACCAACGCAGGGGTTTAAGAGCTTGCACGGTTCCCAGCAGGAATACTCACATCGATGGCCTCTCCCAGAAGCTCCCGCAGCACCTGGGCGCAGATTAGCTTCAGCTTCACCGAGGACTGCAGGGAGAAGCAGGCTCAGCACCGCGCCCGGCTCTGCCGAAAGCGGGGCCCGGAGCCGGGACGGACGGGATTTGGTGGGGAAATCACTTAACGATTCGGGCCAACACGCTGATCTCGGCCAGCACCCAGTCGGGGCAGTCCAGGTCCCCGCAGAACCGGAACCGCTGCGGAGGAAAGAAGCGCTCAGAGCCCGGCGAAGCCCCGCGCAGCCCCCAGAGCCCCCCGGACTCCCCCGCTCCGCCGCCGGGCCCGCTCCCACCATGGCGCTACCGCTCGATTCCCGCAGGTTCCGCCACCGCGACCCGGAACCGATACCGGGACCCAGCAGGGCTCCCGGCCCCGCCCGCCGTAAAGCCACGCCCACAGCAAAAGCCACGCCCAGCGCAGAAGCCACGCCCACCACAAAAGCCACGCCCACCCACAAAGCCGCGCCACGTTTGGCCTTTAGTCTGCAGTCCTCACCCAGGTCCGCATTGTTCCCGCGCCCGCCGGCAGGAGCCGCCCCGAGGCTTCGGCGCACCGCGGTTTCAACTCCCGGAGCTGTATTTGGTTCCTCTATCTTTATTTCGTGCTTACGCCCCTCTGCGCTTACCCGTCTTTATTTTCAGCTGCAGCCGATGGATGCTCGGCTCGTTCAGCTTCTCCCAACCGCAGCTCCGGCACTCAGCTCGGTGCCGCAGTCTGCTCCAGCAGCTGCGCGCCAGGGCCCTCATTCGATCGTTGTGTCAGTGGGAACTGACATAGATGCACAGTGTGTGAATAGCGAGGGCAGCGGCTCGGCTTGAGGGGGGAACGAGGCCGTGCGGAGCTGAAGGGGCGTGGGCGGCAGCGGAGCTCTCGAACTCCCGCCGCTCGCAGCAGTCTGGGGGCACGGGGGTTTGGGACTTGTCCCAGCCGGGACTCCATCCTGTATAGCAGATCCCTGCGCCCACCAGGCTGGTTTGCGACCCCCTGTGCCCGAACAGGGCATGGAGACGGATGCTCTGTGCAGTTGTTGTCCCCCCTAACACGTAGTGACCAGATGCTGGGGATACCTCTAGGGCCACCCAGCCACGCGGACTGAACTCACCGGGGGGAGCTGAAGTACTGCTGGGGCATCCCACTGCTGGCAGTGCTCTTAGTCCCATTGCAATGCAAACCCCAACCCTGAACCCAAGTGGTGGAGGCGATCTACAAGCAGGGGACTCTGCTACCCCAGAGCCACAACGGCGCAAAGGGACAACACGACACAGTTTCTCTTTTCCAGGCTTTATTCATGACTCACTCTGCACTCATGCTGCAGCTGAGATTCGGGTGCAGCCCTTGCATGCAATACCCACAGCCACCCCAACGGCAGCCAGCGCTACAGCCATGGCCACGCACAGCAGCCCCATCTCCACGCTGGACACCGTCACCTCTGCACCTGCAAACCCAAACCCAGCCATCAGAGCAGGGCACTGCAGCCGCACCACAAAGGCACAACCACAGGGACTCACCATCGCCATCCTCCTGCTGCTGTCCCATGGCTCCCAGGTCCACCGAGAGCAGCACGGGGCCAATGACCACATCAGCTGCAACCTCTTTCCCTAGGAAGGATGGAACCATGAGCTGTGCTCCCCCCACCCCGGGTCTCCTCAGCCCTACTGGGGGACCTTACCGTCATCACGGCGGAAGCGGCGGCCGTGCCATCTGTCCATGGGGCTGAGCCTCCGGGGAAGCACAGACGGCTCACAGTTGCCCGTCTCACAGCAGCTGCAGACATCCCGGCTACCTTCCACTGGCACCCAGCTGGAGCAGGAGGGAAGGACTGTTACCGGTGAGTAGGGACCCCTGGCAACCCTCCCTTTCCCCTCTCTGCCCAAAGGACACCAAGAACATTGGCAAACACACGCTGGAGGAGCGTGAGGTGGTGTGCCAGCATCATGTGGCTCCCCATCCACCACCCTCCAGACCCACAAAGAGGGTCTGTGTCCTGTGTCTGAGGCTTGGGTGCTGGCCCCTGAGTTGGAGTTCATAAAACATCCTGATTTGTGCTGCAGCTACTCACGTGTTTCTGGCCTTATTGAAAGAGCAAGCCTTGTTCTGAGGGTCTGGGCCTTGGTCTGCTGGGGTCACCTTCAGGTGGCAGGTGATGTAGATCTGTGGGAAGGCAGGGGAAGGGCTTGGGACCTCTCCCTGGGGACAGCCTGACTCAGGGTAGGTGTTGTGAATGGACACAGCATACAGCCTTACCAGGTTCCTGGTGTCCCCCGCAAACCTGAAGACATCGATCCTGAACCGCAGCACATCCTCCCGTGGCCGGGGTGTGATGAAGGCAGAGCTGGTGTCATCCACCCTCCCATCCACTAAGCACCTGGACAAGAGGCAGATGGGGAGTGGGTCAGCATCCTGCTGAGCCCCCGAGTGTGGTGACCCCCCCCAGACTCACCCGTTGAAGTCAATGATGGCGTAGTGGGGCGAGGAGTCACCATCGGGGCTCAGGGCAGCCACACAGCTGTCCACAAAGAGCCGCAAGGGCACGTGGCTCTCAGTGCTGACCTCGGCCTGGATGTTGAGGATGTCACCCAGCTGGAAGCCAGTGAAGGGTCTCTCTGTGCTCCAGTCATCTGCAGGGCAGTAACACAGGGGGGTGAGAGAGGGGACAGTAGAAGTGATGGCCAGGGAGCAATGTGGGTGACGGCTTTGGGACAGCTGGGTGCCCCAGTTGGGTAACTGGGAGCTGTGCCACGTGGCACAACCCTGCTGGTGTACAGGGTGCCGTCCCACATACCGCTCATGAGGCGCAGGGAGAACACCAGCCTCTCCTCAGCTGACAGTGCAGAGTTGAAAGGGGACCAGGTGGGCCGGATGGCATTGCTGCTCACGTTCTCCCTCCTGGCAAGCAACAGTGTCAGTATTCAGCTAGGCACTGGGGAGGCGTGGGGGGACAGTGAGGTTGCAGAGCCCTTACCTGGGGTAGTGGCACTCGATGGGGATGACAGCAGGGTTGGTGCGGATGATGACAGGGTTGCTAGCAGGGCTTGGGTCGTAGTTGATGAGCGTGCGGTAGATGAGGGCATCTGGTGTCACCTGGGCAAGGAAAATGCACAAAGTTGGCAACGAGGCAGCGAGACCTCCCCCTCCCACCCAGAGCTGTCTCTTTCCATTGGAAAATGCAAAAAAAAAAAAAAAAAAAGGGGTAAAACACAGAGGGTCTCCAGCTGTAAGCACAAAGCAGCTCCTTTCTGGGAGGAAACCACCCACCTGGGACATGAGATCTCACCTGCACGACGCTGCCGCACTCGTGGAGGCCAGCGGCGAAGGTGACGGTGTTTTGTGCGGCGTTGAGCGAGGAGTGCTTGCAGGCAGCTGGGCCAAGAGTCAGGTCGGCAGCATTGATGAGACGCCCGGTGCCGAAGAGGTCCCTGTGCACCGTCACCACCAGCTG